AATATGATAGCAAATGCTCATCAATACAGTTGACCCCCTATAATGCAGTAGATACGTTCCACTTTATAAGAATTTCACGTTGTAGGAATCCTTAAATACATGAGCCAATCACAGCCCGGCACGTGTGCAGTTTACGGACTACAGCTGTTTGAAAGGTTTTCTTCCATAAAATTAATTGATTCTAGACTACTTTGACTCAACATTTCCAAAACATGTATAATTTTTTGGGAATAATCTGTATAAACTATGCTATAAACAAAAAATTGTAGGATTACTTACCAAGTGTGCGTCGTTCGATGACGCTATTGCTTAAGCTTGTTTTTGTCACGGAGCAGCACACCAAACGGCAGGCGCGTTTTCTGATCAGCAAATTTTTAGCATAAAAATAACTTTGGAGACATCATTAATAGAAATAATTTTTATGGTCGTTGAATAAGAAATGTTTTTTTCACAAGAAATATATAAAATTACAGTACTGTATTAGACTTACAGTACCTAATTTATATACTCTATAGACGATAGTAAACTCAACTTACCTGCCTAAACTCTCCGTAGCGTAAGTAGTTTGGCTGCTCGTCCACGATTATTATTTTAAAAAGTTTACATTAGGCTTAACATTGACGAAAATTCAACGCAAAGCGACACTCAACGGAGAAAAATTTCAACATGGGATAAATTAATATATTTTTTCGTACATAATTGGTTTTCCTAACAACCCCAGTCCCCAATTGATTCGGATAAACGATGCTCTACTGTATTTGCATTTGTCAGTATAGATTTTAGATACAGTAGAGTGTTGTTTATCCGAAGGAATTAGTCGACAAATTTAAATTTTTGCCAGTGCTGTGGCGCTGTAATCTTTGGCTACTCAAATATTTTACGTTCTTGATACTAAATTAACTTCTGAAGTATAATTTTTTATCGTTTTTATATTTTTCAATATATTTATTTTGTTCGTACAAAATAGAAAAATTTTTTTTAATGATACAATAGTCTTCGTTAGGCTTAACATTGACGAAAATTCAACGCAACATGCAACGGAGAAAAATTTCAACACGGAATAAATTAATATATTTTTTCGTACATAATTGGTTATCCGAACAACCCCAGTCACCAATTGATTCGGATAAACGACGCTCTACTGTATTCCAATTCTATTCAAGGTGATGAGTGAAACTTGTAATGCATCTCATGCTATAACAAATTTCCTGTTCATTAATTCTTATTAATAAGTAAGATATTAATCTGATATTTCATTAAACATTTATGTCCTTATAAATGTAATGTAACTTTGCAGCACGAACAACCTCCTTGTCACAATGATTCTTGTACCTGTCTTGCCTTGGTGTAGTATGTGAATGCCCTTTGACTTAAATGACTTTTTGGATTTGAAAGCAGCTAATTCTGTCTTATTTTAAAAATATATAAGCACATTTTAGTTAATATTAATTCTGGAAAGAACATAAATGCTAATACATTTACATTTTGTATTAAAAACAAAATTAAAATAATGTATTAGCATCTTTAGGCTCCTTCCTCTAATGACTAGTCATTTGCAATTTTACTTAAAATTTATGAGAAAAAATTTTTACTACCACCAGAATTTTAGCAAGACTATTTTTTTCTGAAAAATAGTCATGCCAATGTTGTATTTGTATTGAATAAATTTTAATAAAAAATTTTGTTCAATGGACTGCGTGTGCGCGTCTGAAATTCATGGAAAAATTCTCTTACTTGACAATGTACTCTCTCTCTATTTTAACATAAAATATGGCAAGTATTCTAAGTTCTCTTATACAGTAGTGGCATTAATTCTGGACACTTAGATTTTTTTCAATTTTCCTTCTACTCATGGATTTCACACAGTATTTAATATTCTAATCAAAGAATGATGTATTACAATGTTTTCTGTTGAATTTGACACTATAAATTTGGAAAACTTTGTTTTAATAAATAATTCTATAAAATAATATTACAAGAATATTTTTATGTATTTTGAATGAAATCTTATGAATAAAGCAAAGTGTTTTACTTCATGGTAATATTTTGATGGATACCCTTTCCCTTTTATTACTACCTTAATTCTTTGAGGCATTAAATCTACAGACATCTGAGCTCTTGTTGCATGATCATCCTGAACCAAGTTTTGATGACGGATTGCAGCTTGACATCAACACTTTCGGCCTGGACACATTTTTTTTTATTGGATTTTGGTCAGGACTATTTCCTGGACAAGGCAAGACAATAATATTTTGGTCCCTAAACCACTTTAGGAAACTTCTGGCTGTATGAGATTGTGTTCATTCTGCTGAAAAATGCATCACCTTCAAATAAATTCCCAATGGTGAGCAACAGTTTTAGCTTTCAACATTGCTTCCTGGTATTTTTTTGCTTCAATTTTGACATCAGATATCATGTCTGGCCATGCAAGCTCACACCATCACACTCACAGGAAGCTCAATGGTTGCCATGGTGCACTTGGGCAAAAGGTCTTCACTGGCTCATTGACAAACAAACTTCCAGAGATACAAATTTTTGTCTTGTCAATCCAAATAATCTTGGTTCAGTTTTCTTGTGTCCACTCCTTGTGTGCCAGAACCCAATTGGTATGTTTCTGCCTCTGTTTTTTGTTGAGTATGGTTTCTCTCTTGGTGTCTTCATAGACCATTGTCACGCAACTTTTTTCTAACAGTTATGCCAGCAATTTGCATGCCAGATGTCTTCAGGAGTTTGATTGTCTTTTGCTGATCTGTGACAGTCTTGAAGGGAGATACAACAGATTCTACTCGCATCATGCTCGGTTACTTTTTGGTTTTCTACCTGTTCTAGAAGCTGCTTTTGTCAATCCTATCTCAGCAAAGCATTTGAAGATTCTTCTCACAGTTGACTTTGTAGCTCCACCACTCAACTTAATTGCTATTTCTTTATATGTGTAGCCTTCTTTTCTTTGCTAGAGACCAATCAGCATGTCTTGTTTTGTTAGGAGTCATAATTTCAGTTTTATCATCTTATAATATAATTGAGATGGATTGATAATGATAATAATAAGTGCAGAGCCCAAACAGTTAGGAGTTGAAATTTGGTACACAGAGTATGTCATGAGAATGTACACTAAGAAGAGATTTTTGAAATTCCCACTGTGGGAGAGGGAGAGGGTTAAGTATTACTCCAAGGAACTTGGCTTCTACCATACTATTTTAGATGCCTTTCTTGCATTTATGTGGGAAATTGAACATAGTTTTAGACCCTTCTAAAAATTCTCAATGATATTTAGTGTTCCATTGTATATAAAGTTGACACAGGGAATGCATGCACATAAGTTTGTTTTATTCGAATTCTTTGTTTTAATGTTCAATTTTCGGGAAGATCCAGCTTATTTTTCGAATTTAGTAAACTTAAAGAAGAACCCAGAAGGGATTACAAAAACATTTGTTATTCATCACTTAGTGGTACTATGCACTGGTTAGTGGTTGCTGTGAATCTTAATTATTGTTTTCTCAGTGTGGTAAGCAGATATCTAAAAATTCTCTAATTAGTCTTGAAAGAGAGGGACCTAATTTTTGCATTCGGTGAAAATGGGCAAGATCCACTAAAATCTAATAATCTTAATCTTTGCTATCATTACTTTTTGTCTGAGCAATGCCAGGCTCATCTGCTAGTATTCACATAAGCTCAAAATTTAGAGATCTCTCTTGTCAAAACAATCAGATGTGGCTGCTCAAACTCTCCTGATTGAATACTGAAACATACCTGTGTGTTATCCTGTGATTTGTTAAAATAAACAAGACATTGAATATTACTCTAGCTGATCAAAAGGTTAATTCAAAAAATCTTGCATAAAAAATTATGTCTTTCTAACTTGTTACACATTGAATTAAGATGAATAAGTATAAGATTAGAATGACCATTTAAATATCAAAAAAGCATTTTTCTGATACAAAAAAAAACCATGTCTTGAATTAATGCCAGTACTAGTCATTTGTTTTTCATATATATGAGGACTACAGCATGACTTGAGATGCCATCAATCAGTTATTTGATTAATTATTTGATACAAAAGTTAAAAATTATATTTTCATGTATTATCATAACAACTATGTAGCAAAATGTATATTTAGAAACATCATTTGTTTAGTTTGAAAAGAGATTTTTACTATCAGCTATTTTAATTTCTAGTGCCCTGTTTGATGCATTCTAGTTCCNGCGAGATCCACTAAAATCTAATAATCTTAATCTTTGCTATCATTACTTTTTGTCTGAGCAATGCCAGGCTCATCTGCTAGTATTCACATAAGCTCAAAATTTAGAGATCTCTCTTGTCAAAACAATCAGATGTGGCTGCTCAAACTCTCCTGATTGAATACTGAAACATACCTGTGTGTTATCCTGTGATTTGTTAAAATAAACAAGACATTGAATATTACTCTAGCTGATCAAAAGGTTAATTCAAAAAATCTTGCATAAAAAATTATGTCTTTCTAACTTGTTACACATTGAATTAAGATGAATAAGTATAAGATTAGAATGACCATTTAAATATCAAAAAAGCATTTTTCTGATACAAAAAAAAACCATGTCTTGAATTAATGCCAGTACTAGTCATTTGTTTTTCATGTATATGAGGACTACAGCATGACTTGAGATGCCATCAATCAGTTATTTGATTAATTATTTGATACAAAAGTTAAAAATTATATTTTCATGTATTATCATAACAACTATGTAGCAAAATGTATATTTAGAAACATCATTTGTTTAGTTTGAAAAGAGATTTTTACTATCAGCTATTTTAATTTCTAGTGCCCTGTTTGATGCATTCTAGTTCCTATTCTTCCTAAAACACCAGCATTAAATTTTATTTTGTCTTCCCTCCTAAATTTTCAGAAATGTATCTCACTGAATACTTTAGTATCATAAATGTATAATTATAAAAAAAAAAAACAAAATTACATTAAAAGATTTTAATTTTTTTTACATCAAATAAATAAATAAACAAACTATCAATTTTTCACTCGTCTTCTATGTTTCTCTTTTTTTGCTTGTTGTGATCCCTTCTTTGCTGCTTTTACAATTCCTTTATATTGACCGGCCAATTTAGCCCTTTTCCTTTAAAATGTTATATGTCATTGTTAATTAATGATATATAATACAAATATAATTTGATAATTTTCAAATGTGAATTTTACTTACCTCTTACCCAACACCTTCTTATCTAACTTAATATAAGCGTAAGGATTGGGCCGACCTTTTATCTTTATATCACCACCAGCTTTCTGCAATTGAAAAACCACATTAGACAAATAATACAAACTTTTCCCAATTAATAATAATCTATGTAAAGTTACTTTTGCTTTAAATTCTTCTCCATAAGTTGGACTATCCTCTTTTTTATTTATTTTTCTATGAATACCTGCATTTTGTAGAAGTGAATACTTTCATGAAACATTAAGCANAAAAAAGCATTTTTCTGATGATACCAAAAAAAAAAAAAAAAAACTATGTCTTGAATTAATGCCAATTACTAAGTGTCCAGAATTAATGCCAGTACTAGTCATTTGTTTTTCATGTATATGAGGACTACAGCATGACTTGAGATGCCATCAATCAGTTACTTGATTAATTATTTGATACAAAAGTTAAAAATTATATTTTCATGTATTATCATAACTATGTAGCAAAATGTACAAGGTCTGTTCAAAAAGTATCGGACCTTTTTTTCTTCCGTGTAAACCAATGATGCGCGAGAGGCCTCCTTCAGTGGAGTTGTGGAGGGGACAGTCATGCACAGCCCTGAATTTTTTCCCGCCTGCAGGAAGCGTCAGTCGTTGGCAATCGGCCTATGAGTGAGGTCATGTAGTGCGCTCTCGTCGGATTCCACTAAGCTGGAAAATGACTGAACAACGTGCAACGAGCAGCGATATTACATCAAATTTTGCCAAAAACCTTGGCGATACCCAAGCGTAAACCATACGCAAGATTCAGCAGGCTTTCGGGGACGATCCTCGAGGCCAAAAAAAAGCAGGACAGGCCCGCAGCAATATCAAGGTCATGTTGACAGTTTTTTCGACTCTCGTGGGGTGGTGTATTGTGTGTACGCACCACAAGGCCAAACCATCCAAAGGAGGACTACCAGGAGGTCCTTCGTCGTCTTTCCGATACAGTGTGACGCAAACGACTGGATCTGTGGTCGATCAAAACTTGGCAGCTCCATCGTGATAACGCATCCGCCCATTCTGCGCATCTGATTCGGGCTTTTGTCGCCAAACACAATACTCCTGTGGTTCGTCACGTTCCGTACTCTCCCCACATGGCTCTGTGTGACCTTTGGCTATTTCCCAAGCTGAAAATGTTGCTAAAAGGAACCTGAATTTAGTCGAGAGAAGACATCGTGCGAAATCCGACGGACCGGCTGATGGCCATTCCAAAAGATGCGTTTCAGCAGTGTTTCCAGCAATGGCAGGAACGCTGGGAGAAGTGTATAAACTACCAAGGAGACTACTTTGAAGGGGATTAGGATTTTGTACCTTAAAGTCAATAAATTTATTTTTGCTGACCAAAGGTCCGATACTTTTTGAACAGATCTTGTATATTTAGAAACATCATTTGTTTAGTTTGAAAAGAGATTTTTACTATCAGCTATTTTAATTTCTAGTGCCCTGTTTGATGCATTCTAGTTCCTAAAACACCAGCATTAAATTTTATTTTGTCTTCCCTCCTAAATTTTCAGAAATGTGTCTCACTGAATACTTTAGTATCATAAATGTATAATTATAAAAAAAAAAAACAAAATTACATTAAAAGATTTTAATTTTTTTTACATCAAATAAATAAATAAACAAACTATCAATTTTTCACTCGTCTTCTATGTTTCTCTTTTTTTGCTTGTTGTGATCCCTTCTTTGCTGCTTTTACAATTCCTTTATATTGACCGGCCAATTTAGCCCTTTTCCTTTAAAATGTTATATGTCATTGTTAATTAATGATATATAATACAAATATAATTTGATAATTTTCAAATGTGAATTTTACTTACCTCTTACCCAACACCTTCTTATCTAACTTAATATAAGCGTAAGGATTGGGCCGACCTTTTATCTTTATATCACCACCAGCTTTCTGCAATTGAAAAACCACATTAGACAAATAATACAAACTTTTCCCAATTAATAATAATCTATGTAAAGTTACTTTTGCTTTAAATTCTTCTCCATAAGTTGGACTATCCTCTTTTTTATTTATTTTTCTATGAATACCTGCATTTTGTAGAAGTGAATACTTTCATGAAACATTAAGCATTATATTATGTAAAATTTTAAATGAATAAATATATATTTCTTAATAAGAGAATTAACTTTATCAAGCATCTAATCAATGAATATAAAAGTATTATATACACTATTTTTTTTCTCCTTGGTAAGATTAACACAGTGTATTTAATATCAGATTGCTCTCTTCAACTTCCTGTTTAAACATATATAGGAAGATTTGTTTCCTATATAACAAATTATTACTCTAGATTTTATATCAATTGTAAAATTTGGAATATTTAATTTTATATTTAAAGTTTATTTAAAAGGCTTGAAATGTATTTCTCCTATTATTGGAAGTGACATATATAAATTCAAAAATAGGAATGAATTTATTCAATAGAATTACCATTAAATAAAACAGAACCTAGTTTTATACAATTTATATGTAGTATAATCATGCATCAATTGAATACTTCGATAAAAAAGTAAATAAAATATATCAAAGATATAATTAATAATAATTCTCAAACCTGTTTTTTTTGTGGAAAGATCATCTTGGTATCCATTTTCTTTGTTTATTTTCTGTTTCTTTATCTGAAAAATATTAAATTTGAAGAAAAAGATGTTCAAGTAAAAAATCAATTCAAGATAATCAAAAATTTACTATACACATATCTTGAATCATATGTAATATACATGCACAGACACATTTTGATTAATATGTATTTATATTAAAAAAATTACATATACTTTTAGTAATATGTTGTCAAGTTTCAGAAATAGCTATCCAAGTATATTAGTCAAAAAAACATTTCTAGTAAATATTGATTTTCTTAACTGAACAGTTTAATTTTAGAATTTTGAATATGATAGCAAGTTTTATGTAATTCTTTTTATCAAATAATTTCTTATGATGATTTGTTTGCTTTAGATCAAATTTACAGATTTACAGATTTCAAAGAGAAAAATTAATACTATTTCATTTAAGTAGAAAGGAGTAAATATAAACAAATAATTTGCTTAATAATAGTCATGCTTTAGCATTTTTGTAAATTAGTATTTCTGCTAAAAATGAATGATTGAATAATGCAATGACTGAAAACTGAATTTCAAGTCAAATTTATAACATGTTGTCTACTAACAGAAATCAAAGAAATAAGTGATATATTAAGTATTTAATTGATTATTCATATTTTTATTAGAAAACAATTAATATTGGCTTATCAACCTTATGAATTTGAAAATATTTGAATAAAGAAATTTTTATCATCTTGAATGATTTAAAATATTTAAAATATGGTTATATAGTTGGTAGTTGTACAAGTGCAGTTCCTGTAGGAGTTAATAAATTGATGTTGGCTTATTTTAGAATTTAGAAATTAATAAATACTTATGTATGTAGTTATATAAAAATCATAATAATCTATAAAATAAATTATAATATCACTAAGTGTGATGGCTTTTAGAAATGAGTATTTGCTAAACAGCATACTATTGATTAATTCTTTTCATTCTTAACACAAACTATTCAAATTTTAGTAAATGATGATAAACATGACAATACATTCTGGCAATGCCTAATAATATTACAATTGAATGCTATGAATTTGAACAAGAGATTTGTCTACTATAATGATGGAGGACAAACATCTATCATCTGAAATTATTCTGTAAGGAAACTTTTTGTTTGCTTGTTTGCTTGCTAGATATATATTAAATAAAAAGCAGGCTTATTTTTTTATCAGATTTGTTCCTCTTATCATAATTAAATTTTATTGACAATTACAATAATATTCATTCATATAATGCAATACTTTACAGAATGTAAAGAAAGCTAAATGAACAAACTCCACCACTCCCCATGAATAGGGAGGCAATGTAAACAATAGATCCATTTACAACCATATAACTACAATCCAGGGCTCTAGAGAGGTGCAGTTTGTTTTGTTTGAAAGACCATTGATGTCTGTAGATACTACAGATTACTCAGAGCTTTTTAGTTTTTTTTTAGAAAAAATGTTTCCCTAATAATTTGACAATAAAAAATTTTTGCAATCAAACATCACAAAAATTTATATAACAGGTGCAAAAATGAAACTAATGGCAAAAATAATGTGGCATATAATTAGTAACACACACACTATAAATGACCTTGAAACTGTAAACTAAATATATTAAAAAATATTTTCATGTAAAATTTACATACATAAATGAGATACACCACAACCTCGAGGGTTAAGGGCCATTGTTACATTTCAGTTTGGGAAAAGGCCTTTTATGCCACATTTAATTGCCTTTTAGATTATTCAATAAATATATTAAATTAAAACTAATAAATGATACAAGTGGCCAGATGATCAAAACAGTTGAGGTGTCAGCCTAATGCTCTGGGGACCTGGAATAGGATTCAATAAATTTCAGAAATTTTTTGTGTGTTGTCTGTGTAGAAGGTCAGGTCTCATCCCTCACAACCAACCTAGCATTGTGGATATGGAGAAGTNATACTGAAACAAATTTCAAGAAGGACCACATGTATTGACAGAAAGCAGGAAAAGAAAATTTACACACTTAAGTACTAATAGTTCACGAAAATTATGCAGGAAAATCTGATAGTACGTACGTGCTCAAATGAAAAATGTCAAATGAGGTATCTTTCACACTTAAAAGCTTTATCACGTTCAATAAAACTGTTGTACAGGGATTTCTCTAATTTCAAATTAGATAAAGTATGCTTTTAATAGTTTTTATTACTGTACATTTCATGTTGTATGAGGGTTTTACTCAATTCTCAAACTGTTTTAGAGTGACTCCGTGCTATAGAAGTGTCGTGTTATACGGGGGTTACCTGTACATAATTACTGTAAAAAGTTTTTAAATAATTTGTAAAGAAATATTATTGCATTGCAATAGCACAAATGTTTAGGAACCATTGGAATTTAAATTTGAAACACACTTCTTCACAGTTAATTCTAGAGGATATTTAGAAAAAACTGAAAACATTTGGAATTTGTCTGTGTTTAAATGAGTAGATTTACTATGTCATAAGTCCTATTCAAATTCAAATTTTAAATAAATTACAGAATAATTTCTGAAGGCATACTGAATAAAGTTGAAGCAAAATACTGTAGTGCCTCATATTTCTAATTTAATTTATTCCAACAGACCATTTGAACTCTGAATCATTCAAAGTCTGAATCAATTTTCCCTGTTATAAATAATGGAAAGTGAATTAATCCATTCCCAGACACTAAACAATACCCATTTCAATAAATTTAAACAGCAAATACACATAATTTAAGATAAAAATAACACAATGCTTTAATAATATATTAAAACACGAAAAAAAAAACATAAATACAGTATTATGAAATGAAAATTGCAATTACCAGTTGCATATTGTTGACTTCAGCATCTTAAAATGTGGCATCAGATCTGCCATATCACTTTCATGCATCATGATGGTAAGTTCCTTTTTCATTTCAATTATTGATAATACATCCCTCCTCTTAGACTACATTGCTTCCAAACATTTCTTGGCTGCCATGGTTTTATTAACCATGGCAACCAAGAAGTGTTTGGAAGCAAGCAAAGTAAAGGTTACGTTGGAAAATTTTTGTGTATTTTTTACAATTGTGAAGTTTAACACATTATTGCTAATGTGAGATTGTATTCTTTGTTTAAAAACTTATTTTAAACTTTTTATTTCACATTTTGTTTGAATAAAATCATATTGAAATGTCTTCAAATAAAAACACACATCAAGCATATTATGCTTTGAGTTTCAGAAAAGCTATAATGCTGTAAAAAAAATTATATGTCTATGGGGAAGATGCTCTAAACTTTTAAAATGCCAAATGTGGTTTAAAAAGTTCCTTTCAGGAAGTTTTGAAGAGATACAAAACATACTGGGTACCCAAAGTTGTTGACAAAAAACATTGCAGGAAAAAATTATTAAAAATTGATGAACAAATAATATGTATAACCAAACATTAAAAATAAAGCAAAACAACACCAAAAACACATAAGCCTAACAGAAGAGTGAGAAGTGACTTGGACATACAACAGATTGCATTTATGCTTTGAGCACATTTTTTCACTGCGTGCATTGTTCAAACTTCGAAGTTAAATTTTGTCAAATTTAGAATTTGAAGTTTGAGGTGCCCTGTGTATAATATTACATACATAATAGTAGTTAAAGAATATTAATATTTTAATTACAGTAGAGCATCGATTATCCGACTCGATTGGGGACTGGGGTTGGTCGGATAACCGAAAAGTATGAAAAAATCCATTATTAGTGTATTATATTATTATATCCCATGTAATTATTATATCGCTATTAACCTACTTTGCGTTGAATTTTTCTCCATGTTAAGCCTATCAAATTTTTTTAAAAATAATAATCGTTGCTATTGTATCGTTAAAAATTAGAAAATTAAGCCTCATTTAAATACTGGTTCCCTTTCATGGTCGATCCAGTGTTGCAAGCTAAAACATGTAAAAATAATATTAAAGTAGCCAAGACATAGCCAAATATTGTAGTGCCACATCACTAGCGGACATTTGAATTTGCTGACTAGAACGCGGTCGGTTAACCAAGGTGACGGTTAATTGGGAGTCGGATAATCGATGCTCTACTGTATTTTCAAAAAGTGGTTAACTGCTTAATTGAGTGTTAGAATTTTTTCTATCATAAAACATCATGCTTTCTTTATATTTATTCATTTTTCCAATATGATCCTTTCATGCTCTCATTATTTTTAAGTGAAAACAGTTTGAATCATATAATTTAAAATTATTAATGCATAAGATAAATATTTATATAGAATAACTATAATCCAGATTTCTTTATATACTGTAAGCATAATTAAATTTTATTGACAATTACAATAATATTCATTCATATAATGCAATACTTTACAGAATGTAAAGAAAGCTAAATGAACAAACTCCACCACTCCCCATGAATAGGGAGGCAATGTAAACAATAGATCCATTTACAACCATATAACTACAATCCAGGGCTCTAGAGAGGTGCAGTTTGTTTTGTTTGAAAGACCATTGATGTCTGTAGATACTACAGATTACTCAGAGCTTTTTAGTTTTTTTTTAGAAAAAATGTTTCCCTAATAATTTGACAATAAAAAATTTTTGCAATCAAACATCACAAAAATTTATATAACAGGTGCAAAAATGAAACTAATGGCAAAAATAATGTGGCATATAATTAGTAACACACACACTATAAATGACCTTGAAACTGTAAACTAAATATATTAAAAAATATTTTCATGTAAAATTTACATACATAAATGAGATACACCACAACCTCGAGGGTTAAGGGCCATTGTTACATTTCAGTTTGGGAAAAGGCCTTTTATGCCACATTTAATTGCCTTTTAGATTATTCAATAAATANCTAATTTCTGATTTGTTTGTTTATTTATGCTAATAAGCAAAATAAAAAGAATCAAAACATTATTGCACATATACATGAAATTAAAGAAAAAAAACTTTTTTTATTGTTATGAATGTCTATAGGAATTTAGTTTTGTAGATATACTTATTATTTTTAATGTTAAATACCAATATGCCATTTGTAAAAATAATATAAAGTAATCCAAACATTATAGATGAAGATTTTATGATAAGCCATAGCTTCAAAGACAGATTCAAGTAATTTTTCTCAATTCAAATATAATTATTACAGAAACAAATATAAGTGAAATTAATTTCTATCACAATTGAATTTGATTAAAAAATAAACTATTTAAGTAATTTAAAGAATTATACCTATTTATGAGTAGTTTGTAATAAAATTATACATTAATCATGAATAATTTTTATCTGAAAATTATCAATATCAAAATAGCAATTCTTATATATGTGACAGAAAATACTATATTGGCCTGAATATAAGTCAACTCCAATTTTGAAATCCTTACTTTTTAAAAAAATATTAGGACCTAAATATAAGTCAATCTTTCATTATTAATTTTATTTGCATGTAAAAAAGTTTAGAAAGTCATTGAAACAATGTTTCATCTCTTGTCTCTTTGATCATTACCACTCTGTTCCATGCAAGTTGTTGATAACATTTATTAAAGACCTTTATGACTGTTTTTGCCACAATCTTTCTACTGCTATTCTAACTCTTACAAGAAAATATGTGGAATTCTTATTACTTTTCATCTATGTAATTTATTATGAAAATTAGTCATGTTCAATTATATTTCTTTCTTTTTAAATTACTTTAGTTAAAAATAAAATCTTTTGAATTTGTATTACAAATACCTGGCATCAATCACCATAAATGAATTTTTTGTTTGCTTTTTTTAGTTCATTTTTATAAATTGCATTCAAATCATACTTAGTTGATCAGAAGATTGTACTAAAAGCATTTGTTTTATAGAAAGAAATATAATATGTGTCTGATGCATATAAATGACAAATTGTAACTTATTGCTTATTTTTGCTGATATTAATAAAAAAAATTAATGAAAGTTATAGAGCAAAATCAAAACAATGTTCTATGCACCTGGTAGTAGGCTGTCCAGCATAAACATTATGCTGGAGAAGTAGGATTCCTTGGTATAATTCATGTGTATTGCAGTATATTTGCAGTTTTATGACTGTTGAAAATGAAATCAAAACATTCTGTTCCATTATCATTTGTCTTACGTTTTTAACTGGCTAAAACATTTTATAAAGCCTAAAACATATAATCATATTGAATACACAAATTTATAAGTATAGTACAATAGAAATCACACTTTACAACAGAATAAATTTTGACTAAATTTTTGGCAATCTTTCCCATTTTGATGATTACTGAATTAGTAGAGACTCCTAGGAGTAAAATAAAAAGTTATCAAAGTAAAATTTCTATATATAAGTTACCAAAAGTAACTGATTTTCCAAACAATTGCCTAAATAATCAGGCTATAATTTTGTTAATTTTAATAATTAATACTAAGTAATTTGCTAATAGAAATAAACACTTTACAACAGAATAAATTTTGACTAAATTTTTGGCAATCTTTCCCATTTTGATGATTACTGAATTAGTAGAGATTCCTAAGAGTAAAATAAAAAGTTATCAAAATAAAATTTCTATATAAGTTACCAAAAGTAACTGATTTTCCAAACAATTACCTAAATAATCGAGCTATACTTTTGTTAATTTTAATAATTAATACTAAGTAATTTGTTACTAGAGATAGATGTTAGCTGCCATCTCTTAACTAATTTAGTTAAGAGATGGCATCTAACATCTATTTAAATATCTATTTATATCTATCTAAATTAATAACTATAATTTTTAATAATTTATTAAATAATTTAGAACCATCTGAAAGAAAAGAACTTACCCAGGTGGTGCTTGAATCTGCAACCTCCACTTGCCCACCCAGATCCTGAGCAAGCCTTCACTTCCAGATGTATTAAAATTTAGATATAACCTTATGCAGTTAATCACAGTGCTGGTTGGGAATGACTCCTAAACATCCATCACAAAGCCTGATATGTATATAGAAACATCACCAAAGAAGATATATATGAAGAGAAACCATCTTCCAGATGGTTCTAAATTATTTAATAAATTATTAGAATTAGAATTATTAATTTAGTTAAAAGATGGCACCTAACATCTACTTCTAGTAGCAAATTAACTCTGTATTTATTATTAAAATTAGCAAAATTATAGCCCGATTATTCAGGTGATTGTTTGGTGATGTTTCTATATACATATCAGGCTTTGTGATGGATGTCATATGTAACTGATTTTATTGAATACATTAAAAAAATCAATTAATCAATTATTTACAATTGTGCCAAACAATTACTTCCCACACACAGCTTGACAAGTTGGCTGATGTTTAGCATCACTAGACAATTGATGCATTAAATTTTGTTTAAGTTCTGTTTAACTCTGTACAATGTGTATCCTATACAGTTATTGAAATTGGGCTCAAATACAGGTTGAGAGAAATTTTCTACCCCCTTAAAACAGAAAAAAATATTGACTAATATTCAGACCAATAAGATAATTCATTTTAATGTACTGTAATTTTCTTATTGGATGAAAGTAAAATACTCTTTGTATATTAATCATTGAAATAATCTAATACAGTGTAATGAAAGCTTACTTTTATGTTTCAATACTTTATCATCATCACAATCATCAGTTATGATTAGTTTTCCATCTGAAGATACTTTAAATTCATCTTTCTTAGGTTTTTTTGGTTTAGTTGCTAAAAATATAAAAATAAATTAATGAAATAATTTCTGTGCTTGAAAATTTACAAAAAAGTTAAATTATAAAAAATTAATTTATACCTAAAATTTTTTTATTTACACTTGAACTGAGAAAATCAACAATATCTTCATTATTTTCTTGTATCCACTCCTTTGTATTCTTTTGGCTAACTTTATTGTTAGATTCATTGTCTTCAGAAGTTTCTTCATCAGAATCTTCTTGTCTATTATATTATCATATTTCATGTTACTTTATAAATAAACCTTTATTGATTTTTCAGAATTGTAATATTCAATATTCAAGCTAAATAACTAGAATATACACAGACAAATGTTTGTGTATATTCTGGTTAATCATTCTATTTCTATTTGAACATACACACAAACAAAAGTTTGTGTACATGTTTCAAATGTTTCTTTTCATTAAGCAGTTAAATTATCTCAAATATGCCCATACAAAGACTTTTTCTAATTAAAAAAATAAATATTCTTTTAAACTGCATATTGTTTTATTTGTCAAATATTTTACATGACAAAGACTATTATGCTTCACACAGATCATGTAATAACATACAAAGCCCTGTAATTTGTCATCTTGATTTAGATGAATGTTACACAAATTAGCTACACAATAAATTTCTACTCTAACATTTTGATAGTGAATTTGTAGATACATCAAATCATGAACAATTTTTCTGTCAAAAAGAAATACTTGTACCNTTAAATTATCTCAAATATGCCCAAAGACTTTTTCTAATTAAAAAAAATAAATATTCTTTTAAACTGCATATTGTTTTATTTGTCAAATATTTTACATGACAAAGACTATTATGCTTCACACAGATCATATAATAACATACAAAGCCCTGTATATGTTACTTAATGGTGCTCTGTATTCCATTATGGTGAATTCCTTTTTATGAAGTAACATATACAGAAAAATAGGAATAGAAAGCAACAAGAGAATAGCGTATAAGAGAAACACGACAATATTCCAAATGCTAAGAAACCACAAAACACCCATAGACAGGATGCTGGTTCCAGGTGCGTACAGAATACCATTGCATGATAACACGCTGAAAAAGGAGATACATTATATAGGAGCCACAAAGAGATCGTTAAATGAAAGATTGAAAGAGCACGAAAAGAATATAAGATTTAAATAACCAGTCATGGCTTTGGCTAATTATGCGATCGCAGATCCAACAGAGATTGAAATTAAATGGAGCAAGGCTGATGTCATACAAAATGTTGAAAATAGAAGACATCTAAAATATGCAGAAGCCTGGCACATTTACAAATATAGGAAAAAAGGGTAAAATATAAATTTTCGAGAATCAAACAAAATAGCATCAGCATGGATAGCGGCGGCGTTATAATTATAAAAATGAACCTGCGCAATTGAATATGAGAAGATTATAGAACGTACGTTTTGGAATTTCCGTTTGGCAAATTTAAATTCTGTTAGTTCGATCCTGAAGAAGGTCTGTTAATCTGACCAAAAACGTTCGATAAGTTTTAAAAATAGACTGCATTTTAAAGGTATTTGGAGTTTATTAATTGATTATAATAATGCAGGTAGAGATATAAAAATTTTGATAATGAATTTGTTCACAGAAACAAGTCTTTCTTGTTTCTTTTTGACAGAAAAATTGTTCATGATTTGATGTATACATCAAATCATGAACAATTTTTCTGTCAAAAAGAAATACTTGTATCAATGTTATCTTTCAAATGTTTTCACTTGATACTATTCAAACTTTTTCAGACGTACACATTTAGAACAGAATAAAACTCATTGGAACAAATTTAGATACAGAATATTTTCAAAAAACCTTGTGAAAATAATTCTAACTTGCATTAAACAATTATTCATTCTANTTAAAGCATTTTTTTGAAAATATACAGTAAGGTTCCATATTACCACCCGATTTTCTCTAAGCCTACTTTCGGACTTTTTGTACAAAAGCCTTCAAAAACCATACTTATAATTACACTAGCGAAAAATCCAATTAGGAACATTTAGTTTACTAGTTACCAGTACTTTTCACACAAAAAATGTGGGTGTAGTTATGATACCTTGTTTACAATTCACTAAAATGTAATTGGGGTTCCATAATACCACCTTCTCCTCTACTTTCTAGGTTGGTTTTCAACTTTGAAAAAACCTTGGAAATGTAACTTATTCAGAAGTAGGGGAGCATCTGTACTTGTAGAACTGTGTTAAATATTGTTGCAGTATAAATTAGAATAAATTACTTTCAAAGACTATTTAAAAATAAGTTTTATTCAGTTCTATATGTATATGCCAAAAAATGATTGATAATATCAAGTGAAAACATAAAATTTAAAGTTAAGAGTTTCATTCTAACATCAGTACAGTGTTTCTTTTTTTATAGAAAAATTGTAGACATTTTTCATAATTTGTAACTAAAGATTGAAGAGCTGAAATTCTAAGTTAATATTTTCTGCATAGATTATCTTAATAAATATTATTTTAGAAATAAGCTATTTTGTTTAGTTTTATACTTCCCTAATAGCAGAGCAACAAGGACTAAAGAATTATCAAAACAATTATAAATATTAAATTAACAAATAATTTTATAAAACTTATTTCATACTTACTTGTTCTTCTTTAATTCTTTATTCTCAAGTTTATTTTTATGTTTACATACTTCAACTTTATATATATTGTTGATGTACTTTTTATGGCTCTCTGGTACATATTTTGAGATCATATCAAACCTTTCAAAAAAAAAATTATCAAAAATATATGTTTAATTTCCCAATTATATCAGTACACACACAAATATATGGTTGACAGGAAAACATTCACAATATCTTTAAAGCAATTAGCTAATAAACAAACTTTTTGAAGAAATTTTTTGTTAAAAATAATCGATCCTGATCTATTAATTAATTTTATCAAAAAATAATTATTATGATTTGATTAAAAATAATAATCAATTTTTTTTATTAAAAAATAATTAAATTTTTTTATCATCAAAGTTATTATCTATAAGATTTATTTTTTACAGAATTAAAAAGATTTATGACAGTTTATTAATTTTCTTTTAACTTTAAATTATTCACTTCACTTCTGTGCACATTCTGTTTCTAACAAACTTAGATAGATGAAATTTATTTAGAACTATTATTACCCAAACTTTCGAATAAATCTCGTTAGTATTTCTCTTGCTTTAAACCTTAACTGTCTCTGTCCATCTTTAGATATAGCTTTAATTATATTTTTTACCTATAAATACAAACAAAAAAGAAAACAATAAGGAGGACTGCAAATTAATTTATCTTTCTTTTAATTATTAACTAAATCCTCAACAATGTATAAAATTCTATAAAGTTAATTCATAATAAATCTAAATAATATATTTTTTTAGAATCAGTCTTAATCTTACAAAAATTTCAACATGTTGAGCCAAATCAGTCACTTCTAATGCCCCAAATAAACTTTTAATAAATGATAGTGCAGACTGGATAATCTCTCTACTAGAGGAAGTAAGCAATACTTCTGCATTCTCAATAATAAGATGGATTAAATCTGATGGAATCTTGTCTAGAAAGTAAAAAATAAAAAGAAAGTTTATTAATTTTACAGAAAAAATTGCTAACACATTAACATAAGCAATTTTTTCAAATAAAATGTTACCTTTAAATTCAAAGATAACTCTACCCAAACACAGTACAGTAGCACCAACAAAGTGAGGATTACCAGCTAGTCCAGCTAGCAATACTTCAATATATATTTTTATTCCTTCTGAAATTTAAAAATAATCTTTGTAACATTAAATTTCTTGAATTTTATTGAACACAGAAAACTCACCAGAAGGATTTTCTGAATGCCATTGTAAAAAATAATTTCCAATTTCAACTATTAAATTATACGCAGCTTCTCGAACCTTTTCTGAATTTTCTTTTATACAAAACACTGCCTGAAAACATTTGATGAACATAATGAGTGAAGAATAATAAAAGAAATCATTAATTGTAACAATGTATGAATAACTAGATACTTATTTAACAAATAACAAAAACAAAACCTTAACAATCTTTAATGACAATAATATTTTCAGTCTTCAGAATCTAAAAATTTTGTAATGTTCTAATTTAATTTATGTCATTCTGTTTTTCTATGTTATTTTAAAAGTTGTTTTGAGCACTTGAATCTTAAATAATACCAAAAACATTAGTATCATTAAAGTTTCATTGCTAGATTTTTAAGGATTTTTGTTGTTTGTTAAATCATTGTTTCACACGTTTATTTAGATGCATATTTCAACTTCAGTATTCATAGTTCAACAAATGTAATTAAAGAATTCAAAATTTTCAATTTTTTATATAACAAATAATATAAAATTTTAATTCTTTCAATGTAAGTAATGTTGTATTTAGCATATAACTAATATAAATAATTATTTACAGTAAAAATTATCTTAAAGGAAAACTGTAAATATAAAAAAAATAGGCTTCTTTTCTATTACATTTCTTTCTATATTGAAATTATTATACAAACAGAAATTTATCCATATTTAATTGGTTGTTAATATTTTAATTTTTAAAAATGTCTAAAGAAATTTGCATAACTATTATTATTATTATTCATAATTTTTAAATATTTAAAAAATTACATCATTTTCTATCTAATATATTTACTCAAGTAAAACTTATTAAATATTGTATTGCACTTGTATCTTGTAAATTAAAAAGGAAGAAAAATTTTCTTAACTTACCTCAGGAATAATAATTTTCACAAATTCAATGTTATCTTTATCTAGCTGACATACTAGATTTCTTAAGCATCGCAAACGAGGCTGTTAAAATGATTCAAGCTTGAATCCAGTAATGCAATAATGAAGATGTTTTGTAATGTAAATAACTTACAGCTTTTGATGAAGGAGATGATGACGAAAGTGATGAAATCAACAATTCCTTTAATTCACAAATATGATTTTTTATGAAAAACTGGCATCCTTCAGTATTGTTCTTACAGATTTCTTCCAAAACTCTGTATGATTTCTTCTGGATTGTTCTGTCTAAATTCTTTATGAAAATGGAATATAAAAAATATAGATTAATTAAATCATTTATACATATATATAATTTATTATATTAATTAAATTTTGTATAGATTAGATTAAAAATTACAAACCTGAAGTAAAGGCACACAATAACTGAAGAGAAATTGAATATGGTTTTCATTTATAAATGGTATAAGTGCTCGACAGATATCTAAAAGTGCATATCTGTTAAAGGATGTAATATTTAAATCTTTTAACTTTTCTTCTGCTTTTTGAAACAATGTCTCGCAGAGCTGAAAGTAAAATTAATTTCTATTATATATGTATAAAAAAAATTTACACTTTTAAATCAAACTAACATACTTCTTTTTCTGAAACTTGCAAATATATTTTGATTGTATCAAAAACTGCTAATCTTGTAGATTCTTCTTTATCATCTTTTGGTTCAGTGGTGTAAAGATTGAACAGAATGGGGAGGAAATTTTTTGCATATCTTGTCATTTCTTTTCTATTTACATCTATAAATAAAAGAAAAATAAATAAAAAACAATTATTTAAATAATTATTACAGTGATTTTGTGTAGATAACTCATGACAAATGTAATAAATTTAATGGATTAAAAAATATTAATGAGAGTTTCCATTCACATTATATATACACTTTTCCTTCATTAATATTTGTTTAAATGTATACTATAGAGTGGATCAATAAATACCCAAACAAAAGCACAGCATGGTTGGGTGACATGTATGGTTATTTATTGATCCATCTTTATAATTTAACTTTCCATTTTTCTGTTATAATTTATAATGTACTACTTTTTTAAATGTATTTTGAAAAATTTATTTGTAATCTATTTGTTTCTTAATTATAGAATACTTTCTATTGCTAGGTGTTTGACAATTATTTTATCTCTGAAAATTTTAATAAATAGAAAAACATTTTAAAGTGTCTCTAAAAAATATGCAAAAGAGAAATAGTTACCATTATTGAGATTCTTTTTAATTAAATTACGTAAAGCTGCCATAACATCTAATCGTAAATCTGGTCTTGTATTTAAAGCTGTTCCAAGAATTTTGGCAATTCCTTTGAAAGACTAAATTTTTAAAAATTATAATTAAATGTATATTTTTCAAACTGGACTATTTTTCATATTATGAAGTAAATTCAAACCTGAGGAAAATCAACTGGATTTGTGCAAAAACCAGGCAGCATTGACCAAATCTGTAAATAATTCATTTAAATTATTATATACATCAGTAAGAAATCATATATTTATTTTTATAAAATACAGTGGGTGATCGGTTAATGAACATAATCCATTCCAAGACTTTGTTTGTTATCTAAATCATTCGTTAACCAATCATCGATTTACCATAGGTTTTTATGGAAATTTGATTAATTCGTTCTGGATATTCCAAAAAATAAAAAATATATACTTTTTTACTACGCTTATTTATATGTAATAGTAAAAATACATATATATGCAGTCTTGCCTTTTTATTAGTTATGTTTTTTCCATTTGTGGGGGTTAAAGAATCTTTGCTTTTCTCTATTCTTCAGCATTTTTCAGAAATCATTAATAGTATTGTAATTGCAGAGATCCCCAACACCATTAACCTTATTCTGGTTTGAATGCCACTTGGATGATCGTCGTTCTGACAGCCTCCCATTTCCTCAAAAGATCTTTAGTAGATGTCGACATTGGTCCTCTTCGTCTTCCTCTTTTTGAAAAGAAAACACATCTTGTCGAGTTTCTTAGTATTCTTCATTTGAGAGTTCTTGGAGTTCTTCTGTTGTCAGATCAGTTTCATGTTCCATTATGAGCTCTAAAATGCTCTTTATTTCTCAGATGTGATTTTCATTACTCCATTAGAAGCTTGAGACTTCTTGATATATCTTTCATAGCCAAGATTGTGCCTACTGTAGACTTGTTCAAGCCTAGCAACATCAGACAGCTTGTGCCCACTTTCTACCTTGGCTATTAGCTCTTGCTTGGTTTCTACGGTGAGCACAGTTCTTGACACTCCTATTTTTAGGCTCCATAATATTATCAGTTAGTTTCTTTTTTTAAATAAAAAGTTCAGAAATACTCTTACAAAAATTCAGAGAACAGAAATCAACTAGTCCACAAAAAATTATTTAAATGCAAGGCCCGGATTAAATTCAAAATTTGGTATTAAAACTTTAATGAATATCCGATGGGGCAGTTAAACTTGCGCCTTTTGTAAATAAACCCTGATGCAAAACTTAACAAGTGCCTTTCCGACAGTCTTGCAAAGACTAAAAAATTATTTGTCAAAAAAGTAAACAAAAAGCTGGAATTACAAGGGAGAGTTTCAAAATTCGGAGGATTATTATACTATCTGATCAGTATTGGGTTGAGCATTGATGTTGACGTCTCCTGCACTCCGAGAGGTTTCGAATTGTTACCTGAAGACAAGGAAAAATCAATCGGTATTAATTATTTTCTGTCTCTTCTTTTTATGTTTGTTCAGTAAAGTGTTCATTATCTCATTTGTTTGCTATCCAAACTGTTCGTTAACCGATCACCTACTGTATTTTTATATGTTTTGTCTTATTACCGATAATAGCTTAAATCTTAAATCAAAGTTTTCAAAATTTAAAAACAAATAATATCTAGATTAACATAGTGTCTAAACCAGGCATGGCCAACACACGGCCTGTCTAATGAGTTTATGTGGCCCACGATTAATCTTTCAACATCAGCTACTCAAGTCCAAATAGCTCAATGAAAAAATTCTGGCACCTAAAAAAAAAAAAAAGGTCAAAACTCACTGCACATTTAGAGTTAATTAACCTCCATTACAAATCTCATGAGTACAGCGTAGAGTGTTGATAAACTTTATTAAAAGAAAGAATGTTGATAAAGCATGATAATGTGAAAAATGTATCTGTAATCGCTATCTACAATTCAGTCTCTACGGGGTGACACCACAATGAGATCTCGCACCACCTCAAAATCTTCCTAAGGCAGCATCTGATTCGAACCGTAAAAAAAGTTTTCTTTTCAATTTGGCCCAGGGGCAAAAACTGTTTGCCACCCCTGGTCTAAACTATATCTAGTGTTTCAATAACAACATTAGCCATATAGCATTTGGCTTCATCTGTTGTTTCATCAATATAGTAGATATCCAAACAGATTTATTTCCCAACAACTCCCAAATGTTGAATTGTCTTCTTGTGTAGTTCTGAAAAATAATTTTTTTTGTGATCTGGATTTATATGGCGTTTTCCCCCAGTGTATTTTTCTAGGAATTTACCAAACTTTTTTGTAATTTGACTTATCAAATGGTATATCTGCAGATAATGGGTTTTGAAAAGTAATTTGAAAATTAAAACTGTATTTATAACCCTTCTTCATACATGCACACAATAAACTTTCCTCAAAGTTGTCCAGCACCTTCAAACAAGTTCCTATAAAAGAATGGAAACATCCTACAATATATCCACTTACCAGTTGGGACCAAGTGCAGATTCCCAAGTTTAGAGGTTTTCTGCCAAATGGGTTATTTTTTATTCAAATTTGTGCAAAATTTTTAACATTGGCTGCATGTGAACTATTAACAGTTTGGATTTTTTTTTCAAATTCTTAAATAACGACAAAAATATATTTGCTAGTAAAAATAATCTAGATGAAAAGTAGATTGAAAAATATATGATTTTTTTAATTTGTGGGCATTGGCCATTTAAAAAAAAAAAGTAAAAAATCTAGCAACCCAAATTGTGTGTTTGCTCTGTCTTTTTTGTAGTTGAATAGTGCTTTCTTAATTAGCTTACTATAAATTCAGTGATTTCATGGAAAAATGACGACACATAATCTCAACTGGTGAGTGGATATAACATAGGAGGCTTCCACTCTTTTACGGAAACTTGTTTGAAGGTTCTGGATAACTTGAGAGGAAAGTTCATTGTGCATGTCTGTAGAGGGAAGTTCATAAACACAGTTTTAATTTTCAAATGTACTTTTCCCATTGTAAATGTATTATTATTATTATTATTATTATTATTTGAAAAGTAATGTATTTTTTAAAATTTGTCAAAGAATAGTAAATTAACTGCAAGTTTATTATGAAAACAAAAATAGACTTTAACTTTAATCAAGCAAAATTTTAAAATACGCCATTTTATTATTATTATTATTTTTAAATGAAGCTTCAGGAGGCAGAGAAGAAAATCTCTGTAGTTTTGAACTCATTACAAGATTCAGAACTTGGGAGAAAAATATGTTTTTGCATAATGTTCCAGGTCTTATTTTTAGTGGTCTATCTTTAATCTTACAATAAATACCTCACTCAGGGAACATGACAGGCCCTCTATGGTAGTGATGCCCAAACTGGTCCATAAACATATTTGACATATCACTTATAAATAAAGGCCTACTTTTAGTATACATGAAATATATAAAATATTTATGGCCTGTTTAACAAAGATTTATGCCAATTTTTTCCACCAATTGAAAAGTTTTGGCACTGCTGCATTATAGTATTAAGATTTGGTGAAACCTTCAGTTTTGAAATTGATCAGTGTTCTAATAAAGGGACAGTCAAAAGGTTTCTTACAGGAACATAATAAGCAGATTTGGACATACATATAAGAAGCAATTACATCCCTTTCTTTCAATTTAGGAAACAGAAAATTTTGCAGAGGATAAAATCAAGAAAATAAGATCAGGGAAAATATTGTTGCAATTTTGATCAGATATTCACTGACTGGAAACAATCAATGAAACCCAAGGTAAAAGCCTCAGCAACCAGATAACCCTTAAAGAAATACTAAAAAGTGGTTTCCACACATTTTTCCAAAAAATTATGACAAAAAGTTGGTGTGTGTGATTTATTCAAAATAAACTTGATGACCCAACTTGCAATGTCCAGAGTGCATCCAGTTACTAAGCATTTTGCTTCATTAGTGATATAATCAATAGTTATGATCATTATTATTAAATTTTTTGATGCAACTAATTTTTTTTAAAATGAGTAAATAAAGCAAGTTTAATAAACAATTGAGAATGATATCTTTATACCTACTTCTTAGATTAAGATACCGGTATAAGTGTATGTATCCTAAAAATCTGCACAAATTTCAAAGTTGTTTAAAATAAGGTTTTTGGATACATATAAGTTGATCAGGCTGCAATCAGCTGCAATATGAACTTTAGTCTTAATCCATTCCATTAACCTCTGGAAGAAGTTCAGATCTGAAGTAGCAAAGTTTGGTCCTGATCATGTCCTCTAACTCCTTCATGGAGTCAGCTTTCCAACTATTTTTATAAACTTTTTGCCTTAGTTGGTACCAAAATTTCTCACTCAGTCTCAGTTGCAGAACTTTTGGAATGTTGGCTTTATCAAATTCCATAATGGTCCAACTTGGCAACTGTGTCTAGGGTATTAACCTCTTTTGAATGCATGAGCATAATGGGTGGGGGCCACATCTGGCCAGAAGACATAACCTTATTCTGGATAGTATTTCTTTAAAAAGAGTACTAGCCTCTTCTGAATGCATTCATTTCCATACACTTCTTTGGTGACAGAGATACAAAGAAGCAATAAAGGCCTGTGAATGTCCTTTGGTATTGATTGCAAACAAAACCAGAAGTGTCAATGAAAACTTGGGCGTGTCATTTGAATTTGACTTCAGGATCCACATTCAGTCCATCTTTCGTGAAATAATGATTGTTACCAGCGCATTCATTTCAGTCAAAAGTGAAATAGGACTCATCATCCTTAACCATATCAAGATTTTTTAAGCCTTCAAAAATGATGCTATATACTGTATGCCATGAACTTCTATTGCAGAGAAATGTTTAACTGTACAAAATTTCCAATTTTTATGAATTTTGGTATAAAATTAAATTTATTAACCAATTATATTTCTTTGATTAATTTATTTAATACTCCCAATTTTAAAATGTACTGTTATTTACATAAACTTTTTCCATAAATGGAATCAACAAAATTCTACAAAGAATATATGCTGTCTCATGCACATGTCCAATTATTTAAAAAAACTGAAAAACATTATTGAAATTTTCACAAATTTCAATAATGAAAATTTTCAGGATACATCCATACATTAGCAGTTTTTCAGCTTTGATTTAAATTAAACAACAAAGAATTTCTACTACACTCTGCAGATAATTAATTAAAAATATAAAAATAATATATTTTCCCTCTTTGTAATTTTTTCTATTAATACCATGTGGACTTTAAACTGAGTGTTTCCATACTGAATTTTACAAAACTCTGATAGTAAAGGTTGCAACCACAAATTAGTAAAAGTTGTTAAATATGTAATAAATTAGTCAGGATCATAAAAAGGTGTACAGACCATTTGAATAAATATGATATTTCTAATCTTAAACATTGTTTTAAAAAATGCTAATACATTTTAATAAAAAAGTAAATACCTGTGATTGAACTGCAGAATAAAGCTGTGCCTCAATATTATGATTTGAATGTTGACACTGAGTAACTGTAAAATAATTATTAAGATTAATAAGAGTTATTAATAATAAATGATGAATAGAACATTTGCAAATACCTTTCTTTTGAATTTTAGTTGCAAGAGGAAGAAAATAATTTGTAAAAAATTCCAATTTTGTTTCTTTAACATTATCTCTAATAACAGGGAGAAGCCAACTTCGAGCAAAGTCAAATTTATTGCTGTAATAATTTTAATAAAAATTGCTGTATATTTAAAAACATTTTTTGCTCCTATTATAATAAAATCTAAAAATTAAAACTACCTATCTAAGTTGAGATTTAATGGTATAGCATTTAAAACAACATCAGGACCCATAGAAGCCACCGCTTTCCCTACTGTTTGATCCAACACTTTAGTATGTGTGAAGTTGATGCTATCTCTAAGATCAGCTAAAGATTGTAGACACTAAAAAAATTCTTCAATCAATATTTTTAAAAATTATAGATATATTTTTAAAAAAATCTTTACAAAATTTCAAAGATAAACTCTTAAAAGTCTAATAGTTAAAAGTTAATTAACAAATTTCTGTAACCACTTTATTCTTGCTGAGAAATATTTATTTATATCATCATAAATGTTTTCTACAACCTAAATTCTGATAGAATTTAGGTTGGAGATGAAAATTTATTAATTATTCCTCACTGCTGAGTCTGATTTTGATAGTTAAAAGTTATTTGAAAGTAAATCATGCTTTAATCTTCAAAAATATTTTTCAATTTCATATATTTTTAACATATAAAACAGTGGTTTTCAAAGTGGGTACTACCATCCACTGAGAGGTTGTGAATAAACCTAAGAGTGAAAAGAAGCGAGGGAACTTCATGGGGCACTAGAGTCAGGATCTTGACTGAATGGTGTCTATAGGCGAGGGTTGGGATCACTGACAACTTTTCCCTTTCCTTCATAAAAATGGGTAAGAAGATACATTGTATTTAATGGTTTTCAGATATGGAGGAAACATAGTGAGATTCACAGAAAAGTTTTTCTTGAATATTTCCAAGCCTTTCTCACAGAAGGGAAAATGGGTTAGGGGATGTTGGGCAAATGTTTATGGAACCAAGGAGGTGATGGCTCAAAAAAGTTTGGGAACCACTGATATAAAACTGTCCTAAAATAAAAAAATTCACAACAATATAAAAATTCTTTTTATTTTTTAATTCACTTTATATTTTATGGAATATATCATGATGACAAATGACAACCACTGAGTATTGGCTATAAATAAACTAAAATCCAGCAAAAGCCTGAGGATGTCCGTTTAAGATGGAAGAAAATGTTTGCTGGATTTTCAAGAGTTGTTTTTGATTATTGAGAATGTAGTATATCATAATGTCTCTGACTTTTCTTTGAGGCTACTTGGTTGTCTTAACAAGTGTTAAAACAAACTCTTAAAACATAAAATTTCCAGAATATAGAAAATATCACTTTCAAATAATACCTGAAGATATTATTTTTAGGGCTTTGCTAATCCAACAACTAAGTTATACATTTGAAATCAGCATCTGATGGAAAATTAATCAGTAAAAAATTGTAATTTTGAACAGTTTAAAAGTTTAATTCTAATTAAAACTAATATTTATTTTATAACATAACTCATTAATATCAGTTACACAATAATTTTTCAGTAATTATTCAATGACAAAAATTTCAAAACATTTTCATTCATAATATTAAATATTGAAATAAGTTATTTTAATAATAAGAATATTTTTTGTTAACATGTAAAAGATTGTTATTTTCAAAAATTACTATTACACTAGAAATTTCGCTGTCAAGCAAGATGTAATACTTTTTATAAGAAAGTAGACATTTAAGAATTGAGAAGAGTACAAATTTCAAGAAATTCAAGAGTTGCTAATAGTATAAACTATTTAATTTGTAGAAATATCTGTTCTAACATAAAGAGCAACAAAACAAAATTTCACCTGAAGTGGACAAAAACAGAAGGAGTTATAGAAAATTCATTTACACACACACAAACAAACAAACAGATGATGGTCTTTACATTTAAAAAAATATTAAAATCTTTCTTTATACACTACATTCTGAATAAACACACTATTGTCTTTTAAAAGGTTTCCTTGTCTTTCTTTAGTAATGATACCTTAATATGGTTTTGCTTTCTTGAACAGGATGAAGCAATATCAAGTTGACCATGATAAAATACTGATTAAGAAAGGTTCTCACATGATCATGTCTGTCTCTGAGATTTGTTAATAATAACAGCAAAAGCTAGAATAATAGGAAACTGTTGATGCTTTAGTATAAATGGCAAATTTACATTACTGGGGCTAAATCAATACAAGGAAAATTCACAATATCACCTTGATTAGAGTCAGATAATATTTCAGCTGTAATTAAATAGCACTGCAAACTTTTTATCATAAGCCTTGTCCCATTGCAAAGGCCATTTTTTTGAGCACAGAAAAAAGCAAGCAATAAATTTGCTTACTTTTTTGTGTTCCTACCCTCCTGAACTATTCCAACTGGTCTCAAATTACTACAGAAGAAATTTGAACTTGATATATTAATATTTAGAGGTAGCTCAATGACACAAAGTTTATAAAAAAAGCAATTTATGATAAACGAAAACATACAAGACCTGTTTTGGGAAACCAGACTTGTTTCACTTTTTAGGACAATTACAGACAAATTCATGTGGACTCTACAATATTCAAAAACTTGATGGATTATAAACCAAAATGAAAAATTTTTTAAACATCACAATCACAAAGTTTGAAATTTTCAGTACTATGTTCAATGTTGCAAAACTTATATCCTCAAGCAACAGCTTGCATCTTCTTCTTCAGTATCTGTGCTGCTGCTTGAGGATATTAGTTCTGCTATTTCTTCACCACTTCTCTTCAAGTTTTCCATTCTACATTTTCTGTTAAGCATCTGTTCCTGTCTTTGTGCTCATTGTTTCTCCTCGCAGTTAATTTTGCATCCACACCTACCATTGCCCTTTACAGCCTTTTTCATGCTGTGCTAACAAGAACTCATGATCCTCTGGAATTTTTATCATTTCAACTATTTGCTCTAAGATGAGAAATATCAAAAAGTTCATCTAGTTTACTAACAAATTTAGCCTCATTTGTTTATTGTGTTACAGATTGTCGCAACCTTGTTTATTCCTTACCTTGATTACCTCGTTTTTCTTTAGCAAACGCCATTCTTCAAATGTTCGTTCTAGTTTAGTTATGCAGTTTCTTGGATCCATCATTGGAATCCTTGCCATTTCAAAAAATATTGCAAGCTTTTCAACTGTAGCAGCTGATGACTATCTGATAGTTTGTTTCAGTTGAAGCATGCATACACAGATGTAAAAACCAAGAGCCAAGACATAAGAATGGCAACTTGTTGCCAGTTAATTCAGTTACTGTTGAACAAATGAGGTATACTTCAGTTTTAGATCTAGTTGCTGCTGCTTATTTATTGTTTAATAACTTTGCCAAAATGAACAAAAATGTATTGTGATTTACTCAAGCAGTTTCTGGATTATATAGTCTATGCATCTGATGATATCAGCAGTTAGTGTTGCTACCTTTTCAAATTCAGTGACCCGAAAGGCAGGTGAGATTTGTTTGAACAGAAGTTCCTAACGCATGCACAATGTCAATTTGCATTGCAAAGAATAACGTGCAGTGCATGCTGGTTCTAAATCAGTTACAGCTAGGGACTAGGGAGACTTGGGTAGTAGTAACATAAGTAACTAAATTAAGAAAAAACAACTATAGATGACAGCTCTATTGGATATTGGAGATGTGAATACAAATCGTACAAGCAGGGGAAAAAAAAAGGTTGACAGGTTGTGCACGATATTCCTGGACAAAATTAGTAGTTCACCAGGACAGTGGGTTGATTCCCAGACTGTCCGGGTGAATACCGGACGGGTGGTAACACTATCAGCAGTCTTTCAGCAACATGCCTGAACTTGTTCATACAAGCCAAATAGCCAATAGGTGCTTATATAAGTAGTACGAGTAACTGAGTCAACCTCAACTGGAAACAGGGAAAAATATTTGCAGCAAAACTTGAAGATGTCAGCAAAATAAAGATCACGGGTCACGACAGAATTAATTCTGTGGGAATGTCATGTAACTAATGTGTGATTAATTTAATGGTTTATTTATAGAGAGAACCAACTACAGTTTTACAAACTGTTGTACTAAAATGGATACATTGTGGATGAAGCTTGTGATTGCCATATGCTCATCCTTACTATTTGAAACCTATAAAACTTCAGTGATATTGAGCTACCACTAAACATTCACCAGTGGAGTAGATTTTCGGCACAAATGTTTTCTAGATTTATTAGAATGGAAATAGAAAGTAGGAGGTTCACATTTACAAATTGTAAAAATAAGCTCCACCCTAATAAGTAGCCTATACTTTCCATGAGAACATATAATGAATATAACCAAAATTTCATCTAGATTGGACAAAAATTGTGAATGTATATAAGAAATTCATGCATGCACACACAACTTTTATACATATTAAATTATACAAAAATTACTTTTATATATTATAATTATTTAGTAATTACAAACTTACTTTTATTGTAACCGGTGTATGATATTTTCCTAATATCTGTAATAAATAAAAATTCTAAAATCTGTCAATTTAAAATAACTTTATGCAATTATTTTTTCAAACATACCTCAAAACAAACACCAATTATATTAATAACATGGGCCCAAGCTAAATGATACTGATACTTCAATCCTCTCTCAATGCTTTGAAATAGCTTGCTTGTAACCATAGTAAATTTAGTAGATGTCTTATCAAAATCTGGATTTTCAACACACTTCTGTATGCAATCTCTCAGTAAAGTCTAGTAAAACAAAGAAAAAACATGAAAATATGCTCATTTATAACAAAAAATAAAATTGTGAGATCCGGAATTTTATTGACGAAAATCCCGCTCTTTTATTAACTAAAATTTTAATTAATTCACTTTCGTTTATGTAACAAATTAGAAGAAAAAAATCGATCTTAGCCGGGAATGTGTAAACCTTACTGTCATAACTATCAACATCTATTGTTCTCTACATAACTTGCAGCTCGTCTTGCACAAAAGTTTATAGTTAGCATCCACCTTTCGTCACCTGTTTTGGGTCCCTGGGACACCTATAACCTTTAGCTCATGAACATCCGATCACGTGATGGAAATTCCCCACAAAAAGCTATAAAAGACCGTTCCTACCCCCTCTCGGGGGAGTCTCTTAACGAAAGCCAGACCGATGACATTGTGCCGATTCTTCGAACCTGCCGACATTCCGATCTCCGAACATCGTTATCCGATCATCTCCAAAGTTGCGAACTTTTTATCATTGTGCTCATTTGGATTAAAACCACCTTTTATTGAACAATTAAGTGCCTCCATGGACTTACTCGCCTAGGAACCATACAAAAGAGGTATGAAAAAGGGTGTACACTCTTGAGCTGTTAGGCGGTCTAGTAACAAGATCAGTGTAACCGTTTTGTCAAATTTGTTCATTTTAATAAATTTTTGTTTTATATTTGTTAAAATGGTAAACTCCTTTACTCGTTTATGTCCTTCACCTTATCGTCGGCCCCAAAAACTCTCCCTCCACTCGCCTGACATTTGAGTCCCAACCCTAAGGACTGTTATCGTACAACCAGCTATCCTGACAGTGAGCAGGTTTAACGACCTGTTGTCCGTACAGGGAGAGTCGATGATTCCCGACCTCCCCGGCAGTTCACAAAATAATTTATATATATATATATATATTATTAAGATGAATACTGTCGTATACATATTTAATTATTTGAGTAATCATGTTATTTATTCGTTTAATCGAGTGAATATCTATTAATTTCTATAAGAAATGATCACTTGTTTGCAATAATAAGTGGAACACAAACGAAAGTTCTACCGTAAGTACTTAAAAGCAACCATTTACGATTAACAGGAAAACACTAAAATATGTTTAAAACGGGTTTTTACAGTGTTTTAACCATCCGCCATTCGCTAAAACATGTAAAATTAGATCCTACTGTACAAATCTGACTTGAAACATTGTTCTGTAGTAACATATAAAAGGCCTTTCGCCCAGTTTAAAAACTCGAGATCCTATGCTGCAACTTGTTTAGCTTACGTGTGAATCGGTTCCGGAGTTGAGCGATGTAAAGGAAATCGATCACAAAATTTTAAAGGTCGAAGAGTAAAGAATAATAATAGATATTAAATTATATAAATTCGAATGTTAATTCAAAAATAGCAGTACTTGATGCATCGATGAGTTAACCCATATTATTTTTATAAACAATAAAATCATGAATAAATGTAGATATGTGATTTAACCTGTATAATAATAGAATTTTTGATTTATCCGGTTATTTTTTTTATTCTTCCGCTAAAGAAGGCCTTTTTAATCACGTCCGTAATGGGTTCGAAGGGCCTAGCGATGAGGGATGGGGGTTCGATATATAGGGAACACGAGGTCGTCTCTCGAGCCCCAGACTGAAGACTTAATCACCTTTATTTATTGGGTTTAATAAAGGTTCTGGTTTATTAATTAAAGAACAGAATATAATATTATGATATTCTGTGAAAGTACAGTCAACTTCTGAACAACGGCCACTGACTGAAACATGCTGAGTGGCCGTTCTTCGGAGGTTATTTGTATGTATTATAAGTTCTTGAAAAAATGGATGACCTATAAAATTATATATATATATTGAAATTAACGATTATATCGTATAGAAAAATGAAGTTGTTAACTAGAAATTTGACCCGATATTTAACTATTTAATACATCCCTAATCACTTAAATTATTTATTTATTTAATTGTTTATTTATGTAATAAATATTACATAATATTAGAAATAATGGATCAAGGATTGGAAAGAAATTCTTAATAAAATTACACCATAAAATGATTTTTAAAGTAGTTCGAAGGTTAAGTGTTTCGGCAACGTAATTACATAACGTAAACTAGAAAGGGGTTAAAGAATTAAGCAAGAAAACACAGAAAACAAGGAGTTTTATCAGTATTTAAGTCTTATATATTCGTATTGAGGATAAATTTTTAAAGAATTTACTATTTTATTCTTATATAATTAGAATAAGNAAAAAAAAAAAAAAAAAACTCTCACATACAAATATAAAAATTTAAAGCTATCAAAAGAGAATGTAATTATATTAAAACAAATACAATCTACAATTCTTAAATTATTAAAAATAAATTTCACAGAAAACTTAAAATTTATAATCTTACTTACATTTATTATTTGGGCATTTAATTCTGCTGTTAAATTAGATCTGTTTGATATATTTTTAAACATTCCATGTAATGCTTGTAATGAACAAGATATCACCAACTGAAATATAAAATAATCAAATAATTTTAATTGAAACACAATTATATATTAAATTCTTATTAATCTAATCTTATTTAACATTAGAACATTATAAGCTTTATTCTTGCCAACAGTATGCAAGAATAAAGCTTTATTTTTAATCTATACATTCATTACTGTTAATATATTAAACATATTAAAATGAAGTATTTTTAAAACTATTATTAGCAAAAAATTTTTCTTTTTATTCTTCTAAGTATCACAAGTAAAAAAAAATATATATAAAATCTGTTTACTTGTTGATCTCTATTATACTTATAAAGAACCTAGATTTTATACTACTGTTATATCTAGAATCATTATAATATTACAATGATTCTAGATATCTGAGATATCTGCTGGTGATAGAAAATGGCAAATTTTTTCCTGTCTCTCTACAGATCATCATTTTGTATAAATTTCTTATTTACACATTCATTTATTTTTCTCAACATAAATCAATTATTGTTATTTTGTTAAATAATTTAGTTCAGTTAAATTTGTAATAAATAAGCATTCATTTTAAGTATTAGAATATTCCACTATCATATGTTTATATTTTTTTTATTCATTCAGTTTTGTTTATATCCTGATTCTCACCAATACTATTGATTGTTTCTTGTCTTCTACTCTAAAGCACATATTAATCTTTAATATAATATTTACCATGACATAGTCAAAAAACTAATTTAATCATTACATTTGCAACCTACATACTTTGAGATATATATAAAATAATTAAAATTAAGAACATTTTACTAACAGGCAATATATATTATACAGATACACTTCAATGGATAAGAAATGTATTCGGTATTCTTGCATTTATAAGGTCATTTATGATCTAAGCAATTAATAAAAATTGATACAGTGATTTGTTTACTTTTTAGTTATTGAATAAATGTAATTTTTTGAACATTTTTGATTTTTTCAATAAATGATTTATTAAAAATTACTTTAGCCACCACTAAGTTGTTAAGATCATAAATTACATAAATGCGAGAAAACCAAATATCTTCCTAAACTTTAAAGTGGTCGGCAATTCAACTTCATAACATGATCTTTGAACTTTCACCAAATAAATGCAGTTGTCTTAACCTTAAAAATGTTTCTTTTTCATTATTACTTTACTATGGTTCTTGTGAAATGAATGATAACTAGAGTAATGTTTATGGTTTCTTGGTACCATAGGCTTAATTCCAACAATAAGACAGAAGTTTAACAACATTAATATGTATAAAAATAAATGGTAATTGACAACTTAACCAGATTAGTATTCTCTAACAGATAATGAATATTGTTCAGTTTTTACAACCTGCCTTCCTCCCCTATTCCTATTTTAAGTCAGTCTTTATTTGACACCTATTATCAAAATTCATCCTCTGAAAGAGTATTTGAACTAATTCTTTGTTTTAATTTTAAAATATTTCATACATATTTAATTATTTCAGAATATTGAAGGCAGGACTTTGTGTTTTCATAAGGTAGGTTATAGACAACAGCATCCATTATTTAGTGTCCGCTATTTAGAGGAAAATATTATAGATGTCTCATTTGAAGGTTTTGAGGATTGTAAAAATTTTCATTAAGTAGAGATGTCCACTATTTCGAAGTGTTCATTAATGGAGGTTTCATTGTAGTTGGATTGCTAAATAAATTTTGTCATGATATATATATATTAAACTATTTATATTTATTCAATATCAAAAGTGAGGCATCACCATTATATTCATTTGCTTCAACAGATAATCAAATTATTACTAAAATAATTTATTAAATTTATACACACCGCATTTCCAAGAGTCATTATTTTCAAAATAACTTCACAAGTTAATTTTAGTTGGGAAGTAGGAAAAACACAGAGAATTTCTTTCAATAATCCAAGAACATGAAGAGTAGCAGTTGAATTTTTTCCTCCTAAAATAATATTAATTAATAATTTCATATTTAATAAAAAAAATGTGATAAAATATAGTCATTATTTTTACAATACCTCCATTTTCTTCAATACTTTTGATGCAAAATTTTGATGTCATTGTGGAAGCTGGATGGCAAGTTATATTCTGTCCCTGAATTACAATATCACTTCCCTTCAAAATGGAGCAAACAGCATGTTGTGCTGCTTTGCGTAACTAAAAAGAAATTTAATATAGTTTATAATAACCATATTTAGATTTGTAACTTATTAAGTTTTAAACATATCATTATTTCCTAACTTATTACAAATTTTAAGTTTTAGATTTTTTTAATATTAAATTAAATCATCAAAATTGTTCATTACAATAAATTCATAATATACTTAGATATAGAGTTGGATAGGGCAAAACTAATTTTGCATTTTATAACATTACATAATATCAAGTTAAAAATTGAGAACATATTTCATATCTATATAAATTAATTATGACTGAAAGTGAAAATCCAAATTTTGAATTATTTTTCAATTTTATAGCAGTTGTGAAACATTTTAATTACATAAAATCTTAATATGATTTCTGTAAAATTTCATTTCAAAATTTTTCTCTCAATTTTCCACAATATTTTTAATTCTCTCTCATTCACTGATAAACATCTATCTATAAAAAACAAAACATATACCTAAATTTCATTTCTCATGTGAAATTTAGATATATGTTTTGTTTTTTATAGTGTCAGAAAAAGATTAAAAACAAACTTCAATAATTTAATAATAGTTGTATTTCTCTTCTACTTGAATAGTAGACCATAAGCAAAATTTTTGTAATAAACAAAATTTATTTAAGTTAATATTAAAGTTATCATAATCAATTATAAAATATATGATTGATTAATAAAAAAAATTAAAAAAATTTAATTAATAGCAATTATCAATAAGTATTGAAATTAATGTAGTAGTAAAATCTGTTATATCAATTCACATTTTATGAATTATATGAACTGAATAATAAAATATGAATTTATGTCTTTCTATAGAATACACATTTTTATTTACAATACCTTCGGTTTAGAATGTGTAGTTAGCACAAGTATATTATTGTAGATTTTAAGTGTTAAAGGAAGGTTCCAAATAGCTGCTTCTTGATGTCTTAAAAGGATAGCAATACATTGTATAATCTATATTAAAACAAAAAATTTGTTATTAGAACATATTTTATAAATCCCTGTTGTCTCAAGAATAAGCCAAACAATTAAAATTTTATTTCTTATTATTAAAAACAATAAATGAAGCATGCAATGCTATAATGTTCTAAATGTCAAAAACAAACTTTTCAGATGTAAAAAACACTTTTTTTTTGTGAATGAATTCATTTCAATTTTACAATAAAATACTAAAAACGTATGTTACAAATTCTCTGGAATATCAAAATGATGTAAATACAGTGGGTGATCGGTTAATGAACAAATCAGATAATGAACACTTTCGTAAAAGATTTTTATGTTCAGACAATGAACACCTCACAGGACAAACACAAGACGAAGTGACGTATAATAATGAATACTGATTGGTCTTCCCTTGTCTTCAGGCAACAATCCGAATCTTTTTGGAGCACAAGAGACGTTGACATCGATGCTCAACCCAATATATACTAATCATATAGCATTCCTCCAAACTTTGAAATTCTTCCCTGTAATTCCAGCCTTTTATTTTTCTGACAGAAACAATTCTTTTATAGTATTTGCAAGACTGTTGGACGGGCACTTGTTAAGTTTTGCATCAGTTTTATTTTCAAAAGATGAGAGTATAATAGCAAAGGTAGAGAGTGGGCAGATGTCTGATGTCTATTGTTGCTGGTCAGTATGGCTCAAACAAGTCTACAGTAGGCCACAGTTCAATCTTATCTATGAAAGATACTGTATTATCAAGACAAAGCAAGCAGCTTAAGGAGTAACAAAAATCACATCTGAGAAATAAAGAACATTGAAGAGCTCATATTGGAACCTGAAACTGATCTGATGACAGAAGAACGCCAAGAACTCTTGAATGAAGAACACCAAGAAACTCAGTGAGATATATTTTCTTCTGAAAAAGATAATTAATGTCGATATCTGCTATTAAACATTTTTTTGAAGAAGTGGAAGGATGTCAGAACAACAGTCTTAGAATGGCATCCAAACCAGGTTGAGGTTAATAGGCTTAGGGATCTCTACAATTACAATGCTATTAATTACTTCTGAAAAATCTTGAAGAAGAGAGAAAAACAACAGGCATTAGACAGATTGTTTAACCCCCACAAATGGAAAAATCATGACTAATAAAAATGCAATACTGTGTATATACGTATTTTGATTATTACATATAAATAAACGTAGTAAGAAAGTATATGTTTTTTATTTTTGGGGTCTCCAGAACGAATTAATCAAATTCCCATAAAAACCCATGGTAAATTGATAATCGGTTAATGAACAATTCGGATAGCAAACAAAGTCTTGGAATGGATTATGTTCGTTANATTAAAAATATAAAAATAATATATTTTCCCTCTTTGTAATTTTTTCTATTAATACCATGTGGACTTTAAACTGAGTGTTTCCATACTGAATTTTACAAAACTCTGATAGTAAAGGTTGCAACCACAAATTAGTAAAAGTTGTTAAATATGTAATAAATTAGTCAGGATCATAAAAAGGTGTACAGACCATTTGAATAAATATGATATTTCTAATCTTAAACATTGTTTTAAAAAATGCTAATACATTTTAATAAAAAAGTAAATACCTGTGATTGAACTGCAGAATAAAGCTGTGCCTCAATATTATGATTTGAATGTTGACACTGAGTAACTGTAAAATAATTATTAAGATTAATAAGAGTTATTAATAATAAATGATGAATAGAACATTTGCAAATACCTTTCTTTTGAATTTTAGTTGCAAGAGGAAGAAAATAATTTGTAAAAAATTCCAATTTTGTTTCTTTAACATTATCTCTAATAACAGGGAGAAGCCAACTTCGAGCAAAGTCAAATTTATTGCTGTAATAATTTTAATAAAAATTGCTGTATATTTAAAAACATTTTTTGCTCCTATTATAATATAATCTAAAAATTAAAACTACCTATCTAAGTTGAGATTTAATGGTATAGCATTTAAAACAACATCAGGACCCATAGAAGCCACCGCTTTCCCTACTGTTTGATCCAACACTTTAGTATGTGTGAAGTTGATGCTATCTCTAAGATCAGCTAAAGATTGTAGACACTAAAAAAATTCTTCAATCAATATTTTTAAAAATTATAGATATATTTTTAAAAAAATCTTTACAAAATTTCAAAGATAAACTCTTAAAAGTCTAATAGTTAAAAGTTAATTAACAAATTTCTGTAACCACTTTATTCTTGCTGAGAAATATTTATTTATATCATCATAAATGTTTTCTACAACCTAAATTCTGATAGAATTTAGGTTGGAGATGAAAATTTATTAATTATTCCTCACTGCTGAGTCTGATTTTGATAGTTAAAAGTTATTTGAAAGTAAATCATGCTTTAATCTTCAAAAATATTTTTCAATTTCATATATTTTTAACATATAAAACAGTGGTTTTCAAAGTGGGTACTACCATCCACTGAGAGGTTGTGAATAAACCTAAGAGTGAAAAGAAGCGAGGGAACTTCATGGGGCACTAGAGTCAGGATCTTGACTGAATGGTGTCTATAGGCGAGGGTTGGGATCACTGACAACTTTTCCCTTTCCTTCATAAAAATGGGTAAGAAGATACATTGTATTTAATGGTTTTCAGATATGGAGGAAACATAGTGAGATTCACAGAAAAGTTTTTCTTGAATATTTCCAAGCCTTTCTCACAGAAGGGAAAATGGGTTAGGGGATGTTGGGCAAATGTTTATGGAACCAAGGAGGTGATGGCTCAAAAAAGTTTGGGAACCACTGATATAAAACTGTCCTAAAATAAAAAAATTCACAACAATATAAAAATTCTTTTTATTTTTTAATTCACTTTATATTTTATGGAATATATCATGATGACAAATGACAACCACTGAGTATTGGCTATAAATAAACTAAAATCCAGCAAAAGCCTGAGGATGTCCGTTTAAGATGGAAGAAAATGTTTGCTGGATTTTCAAGAGTTGTTTTTGATTATTGAGAATGTAGTATATCATAATGTCTCTGACTTTTCTTTGAGGCTACTTGGTTGTCTTAACAAGTGTTAAAACAAACTCTTAAAACATAAAATTTCCAGAATATAGAAAATATCACTTTCAAATAATACCTGAAGATATTATTTTTAGGGCTTTGCTAATCCAACAACTAAGTTATACATTTGAAATCAGCATCTGATGGAAAATTAATCAGTAAAAAATTGTAATTTTGAACAGTTTAAAAGTTTAATTCTAATTAAAACTAATATTTATTTTATAACATAACTCATTAATATCAGTTACACAATAATTTTTCAGTAATTATTCAATGACAAAAATTTCAAAACATTTTCATTCATAATATTAAATATTGAAATAAGTTATTTTAATAATAAGAATATTTTTTGTTAACATGTAAAAGATTGTTATTTTCAAAAATTACTATTACACTAGAAATTTCGCTGTCAAGCAAGATGTAATACTTTTTATAAGAAAGTAGACATTTAAGAATTGAGAAGAGTACAAATTTCAAGAAATTCAAGAGTTGCTAATAGTATAAACTATTTAATTTGTAGAAATATCTGTTCTAACATAAAGAGCAACAAAACAAAATTTCACCTGAAGTGGACAAAAACAGAAGGAGTTATAGAAAATTCATTTACACACACACAAACAAACAAACAGATGATGGTCTTTACATTTAAAAAAATATTAAAATCTTTCTTTATACACTACATTCTGAATAAACACACTATTGTCTTTTAAAAGGTTTCCTTGTCTTTCTTTAGTAATGATACCTTAATATGGTTTTGCTTTCTTGAACAGGATGAAGCAATATCAAGTTGACCATGATAAAATACTGATTAAGAAAGGTTCTCACATGATCATGTCTGTCTCTGAGATTTGTTAATAATAACAGCAAAAGCTAGAATAATAGGAAACTGTTGATGCTTTAGTATAAATGGCAAATTTACATTACTGGGGCTAAATCAATACAAGGAAAATTCACAATATCACCTTGATTAGAGTCAGATAATATTTCAGCTGTAATTAAATAGCACTGCAAACTTTTTATCATAAGCCTTGTCCCATTGCAAAGGCCATTTTTTTGAGCACAGAAAAAAGCAAGCAATAAATTTGCTTACTTTTTTGTGGTCCTACCCTCCTGAACTATTCCAACTGGTCTCAAATTACTACAGAAGAAATTTGAACTTGATATATTAATATTTAGAGGTAGCTCAATGACACAAAGTTTATAAAAAAAGCAATTTATGATAAACGAAAACATACAAGACCTGTTTTGGGAAACCAGACTTGTTTCACTTTTTAGGACAATTACAGACAAATTCATGTGGACTCTACAATATTCAAAAACTTGATGGATTATAAACCAAAATGAAAAATTTTTTAAACATCACAATCACAAAGTTTGAAATTTTCAGTACTATGTTCAATGTTGCAAAACTTATATCCTCAAGCAACAGCTTGCATCTTCTTCTTCAGTATCTGTGCTGCTGCTTGAGGATATTAGTTCTGCTATTTCTTCACCACTTCTCTTCAAGTTTTCCATTCTACATTTTCTGTTAAGCATCTGTTCCTGTCTTTGTGCTCATTGTTTCTCCTCGCAGTTAATTTTGCATCCACACCTACCATTGCCCTTTACAGCCTTTTTCATGCTGTGCTAACAAGAACTCATGATCCTCTGGAATTTTTATCATTTCAACTATTTGCTCTAAGATGAGAAATATCAAAAAGTTCATCTAGTTTACTAACAAATTTAGCCTCATTTGTTTATTGTGTTACAGATTGTCGCAACCTTGTTTATTCCTTACCTTGATTACCTCGTTTTTCTTTAGCAAACGCCATTCTTCAAATGTTCATTCTAGTTTAGTTATGCAGTTTCTTGGATCCATCATTGGAATCCTTGCCATTTCAAAAAATATTGCAAGCTTTTCAACTGTAGCAGCTGATGACTATCTGATAGTTTGTTTCAGTTGAAGCATGCATACACAGATGTAAAAACCAAGAGCCAAGACATAAGAATGGCAACTTGTTGCCAGTTAATTCAGTTACTGTTGAACAAATGAGGTATACTTCAGTTTTAGATCTAGTTGCTGCTGCTTATTTATTGTTTAATAACTTTGCCAAAATGAACAAAAATGTATTGTGATTTACTCAAGCAGTTTCTGGATTATATAGTCTATGCATCTGATGATATCAGCAGTTAGTGTTGCTACCTTTTCAAAATCAGTGACCCGAAAGGCAGGTGAGATTTGTTTGAACAGAAGTTCCTAACGCATGCACAATGTCAATTTGCATTGCAAAGAATAACGTGCAGTGCATGCTGGTTCTAAATCAGTTACAGCTAGGGACTAGGGAGACTTGGGTAGTAGTAACATAAGTAACTAAATTAAGAAAAAACAACTATAGATGACAGCTCTATTGGATATTGGAGATGTGAATACAAATCGTACAAGCAGGGGAAAAAAAAAGGTTGACAGGTTGTGCACGATATTCCTGGACAAAATTAGTAGTTCACCAGGACAGTGGGTTGATTCCCAGACTGTCCGGGTGAATACCGGACGGGTGGTAACACTATCAGCAGTCTTTCAGCAACATGCCTGAACTTGTTCATACAAGCCAAATAGCCAATAGGTGCTTATATAAGTAGTACGAGTAACTGAGTCAACCTCAACTGGAAACAGGGAAAAATATTTGCAGCAAAACTTGAAGATGTCAGCAAAATAAAGATCACGGGTCACGACAGAATTAATTCTGTGGGAATGTCATGTAACTAATGTGTGATTAATTTAATGGTTTATTTATAGAGAGAACCAACTACAGTTTTACAAACTGTTGTACTAAAATGGATACATTGTGGATGAAGCTTGTGATTGCCATATGCTCATCCTTACTATTTGAAACCTATAAAACTTCAGTGATATTGAGCTACCACTAAACATTCACCAGTGGAGTAGATTTTCGGCACAAATGTTTTCTAGATTTATTAGAATGGAAATAGAAAGTAGGAGGTTCACATTTACAAATTGTAAAAATAAGCTCCACCCTAATAAGTAGCCTATACTTTCCATGAGAACATATAATGAATATAACCAAAATTTCATCTAGATTGGACAAAAATTGTGAATGTATATAAGAAATTCATGCATGCACACACAACTTTTATACATATTAAATTATACAAAAATTACTTTTATATATTATAATTATTTAGTAATTACAAACTTACTTTTATTGTAACCGGTGTATGATATTTTCCTAATATCTGTAATAAATAAAAATTCTAAAATCTGTCAATTTAAAATAACTTTATGCAATTATTTTTTCAAACATACCTCAAAACAAACACCAATTATATTAATAACATGGGCCCAAGCTAAATGATACTGATACTTCAATCCTCTCTCAATGCTTTGAAATAGCTTGCTTGTAACCATAGTAAATTTAGTAGATGTCTTATCAAAATCTGGATTTTCAACACACTTCTGTATGCAATCTCTCAGTAAAGTCTAGTAAAACAAAGAAAAAACATGAAAATATGCTCATTTATAACAAAAAATAAAATTGTGAGATCCGGAATTTTATTGACGAAAATCCCGCTCTTTTATTAACTAAAATTTTAATTAATTCACTTTCGTTTATGTAACAAATTAGAAGAAAAAAATCGATCTTAGCCGGGAATGTGTAAACCTTACTGTCATAACTATCAACATCTATTGTTCTCTACATAACTTGCAGCTCGTCTTGCACAAAAGTTTATAGTTAGCATCCACCTTTCGTCACCTGTTTTGGGTCCCTGGGACACCTATAACCTTTAGCTCATGAACATCCGATCACGTGATGGAAATTCCCCACAAAAAGCTATAAAAGACCGTTCCTACCCCCTCTCGGGAGAGTCTCTTAACGAAAGCCAGACCGATGACATTGCGCCGATTCTTCGAACCTGCCGACATTCCGATCTCCGAACATCGTTATCCGATCATCTCCAAAGTTGCGAACTTTTTATCATTGTGCTCATTTGGATTAAAACCACCTTTTATTGAACAATTAAGTGCCTCCATGGACTTACTCGCCTAGGAACCATACAAAAGAGGTATGAAAAAGGGTGTACACTCTTGAGCTGTTAGGCGGTCTAGTAACAAGATCAGTGTAATCGTTTTGTCAAATTTGTTCATTTTAATAAATTTTTGTTTTATATTTGTTAAAATGGTAAACTCCTTTACTCGTTTATGTCCTTCACCTTATCGTCGGCCCCAAAAACTCTCCCTCCACTCGCCTGACATTTGAGTCCCAACCCTAAGGACTGTTATCGTACAACCAGCTATCCTGACAGTGAGCAGGTTTAACGACCTGTTGTCCGTACAGGGAGAGTCGATGATTCCCGACCTCCCCGGCAGTTCACAAAATAATTTATATATATATATATATATTATTAAGATGAATACTGTCGTATACATATTTAATTATTTGAGTAATCATGTTATTTATTCGTTTAATCGAGTGAATATCTATTAATTTCTATAAGAAATGATCACTTGTTTGCAATAATAAGTGGAACACAAACGAAAGTTCTACCGTAAGTACTTAAAAGCAACCATTTACGATTAACAGGAAAACACTAAAATATGTTTAAAACGGGTTTTTACAGTGTTTTAACCATCCGCCATTCGCTAAAACATGTAAAATTAGATCCTACTGTACAAATCTGACTTGAAACATTGTTCTGTAGTAACATATAAAAGGCCTTTCGCCCAGTTTAAAAACTCGAGATCCTATGCTGCAACTTGTTTAGCTTACGTGTGAATCGGTTCCGGAGTTGAGCGATGTAAAGGAAATCGATCACAAAATTTTAAAGGTCGAAGAGTAAAGAATAATAATAGATATTAAATTATATAAATTCGAATGTTAATTCAAAAATAGCAGTACTTGATGCATCGATGAGTTAACCCATATTATTTTTATAAACAATAAAATCATGAATAAATGTAGATATGTGATTTAACCTGTATAATAATAGAATTTTTGATTTATCCGGTTATTTTTTTTATTCTTCCGCTAAAGAAGGCCTTTTTAATCACGTCCGTAATGGGTTCGAAGGGCCTAGCGATGAGGGATGGGGGTTCGATATATAGGGAACACGAGGTCGTCTCTCGAGCCCCAGACTGAAGACTTAATCACCTTTATTTATTGGGTTTAATAAAGGTTCTGGTTTATTAATTAAAGAACAGAATATAATATTATGATATTCTGTGAAAGTACAGTCAACTTCTGAACAACGGCCACTGACTGAAACATGCTGAGTGGCCGTTCTTCGGAGGTTATTTGTATGTATTATAAGTTCTTGAAAAAATGGATGACCTATAAAATTATATATATATATTGAAATTAACGATTATATCGTATAGAAAAATGAAGTTGTTAACTAGAAATTTGACCCGATATTTAACTATTTAATACATCCCTAATCACTTAAATTATTTATTTATTTAATTGTTTATTTATGTAATAAATATTACATAATATTAGAAATAATGGATCAAGGATTGGAAAGAAATTCTTAATAAAATTACACCATAAAATGATTTTTAAAGTAGTTCGAAGGTTAAGTGTTTCGGCAACGTAATTACATAACGTAAACTAGAAAGGGGTTAAAGAATTAAGCAAGAAAACACAGAAAACAAGGAGTTTTATCAGTATTTAAGTCTTATATATTCGTATTGAGGATAAATTTTTAAAGAATTTACTATTTTATTCTTATATAATTAGAATAAGGAAAAAAACTTACTCTGTAAAGCCCATAATTTCATCTGTCTCAGGTCGAAAATAAATTGCATTAAACTGCCCATACATCCTCCAGAAATGTTAACTTGATTCTGTCCACTCATAACTGTAGGAAGGGCCCTTTTTATCACTTCATCCACGGCTTGTTTTAAGAGTTTCTGGACAGATATCCACGTCTCATCACCTTTAGGTGTATCCAATTTATCGTCTTTCGCACTAGTTACTTCATCAGTCACTTTAGAAGTATTATCGGTTACATTATTAGCATTATCTGTAACGTTAGAAGAGTGAATAGGGAGAATAAATAGGATCAGTAGAGTTACACACGTTAACTCTTTCATGTTTTAACAATGCGAGTGACAGAAGCGGAATGCAAACTCCTTGTCTTAGCGTGTCTTNTATCCCATGTAATTAGTATATTAGTATATTGCTATTAACCTACTTCACAGTGAATTTTCATCAATGTTAAGCCTAACAAAAATTTTTTAAAATAATAATCGTCACTATTGTGTTGTTAAAAATTAGAAAATTAAGCCTCATTTAAATACTGGCTCCCTTTCATGGTCAAGCCAGTGTTGCCAGCTAAAACATGTAAAAAATAATATTAAAGTAGCCAAGACAGCCAAATATTGTAATGCCACATCACTAGCGGACATTTGAATTTGTCGACTAGAACGTGGTCGGTTAACCGATGTGACGGTTGATCAGGGGTCAGATAATCGATGCTCTACTGTATAAGTAAACTGCAGATAAACAGTATGTGTCCAGTGAGGACCTCACAGGTTACCAGATAGCTTTTTTAAAAAGTAAAGCAGAATTCTTCAAAATGTAGTCCAAATTATTTTTAGTGAGACAAAAATAGAATGTCACTCAAATGCAGTGCCCTAATGTACACAAAGTCTAGAGCCCTACAAATATGTCAATCTGCTGCTTGTAGCCAAATCTTGCAATCCCAAAACCAGTTGTATTTTATGAGTTAACTACTACTGCTCTGAGAGATCCAGAATCATATTCAAGCAAGCAATGTCAGCAATTTTTCAGAAGATTGTATCAGGTATGATGGACCTTGTGTCTCACTACACAGCTGCCTCCATTGTGGCCTAGCTGAACCAATCCATGATGGCATGAGAAAAGGTCCTCTTAGTGGCCACAGGATGGAAAGAGTTTTAAATTAAAAATGAAAAAAGTTATAGTTATGTTAACATAAATAAATCAATAAATATGCAGGTATTCCTTAAATTATAACAGGATCTCAATTATAAGTCAAGCATAAAGAATAATGGGAATAGGGGTATGGTTCCTAAGATCATTCGTAGGCATTAGGAACCATACCCACCATACAGTATTTCGTTATGATCCACATATGGAAATACTTTATGTTGTAATCAGTTATTGTGCATATGCACTGTAATGCAATACAGCAATGCCATTTATGTTACCATATTTCAAACATGAAGAATGCTTGTTTATTTATTTGGTAAAATACCCATAATGCTATTAAATAAGGAAAAAAAGTATTCTTACATTAGATGACTTCCTCAGTTCCCTGAATAGTCTGAGTAATTTTGTAAGCAACAATTACAATGATGATGATGATGAATTTTATCATCAAAAGGAAGTATAATGCTCAAGTATTTAATAGTAGAAAAAGCAGATTAGTTAATATTTTAAATAAAAATTGCTTTTTTGATTTTAAATGACTATTATGACAAAATCATTATCTTAATTTCAAAAACATCAATTAATAGAAAGTCTTTATTGCAATAATCTAAAAATTATTAAGTTTAAATTATAGAACGTACTTCTAAGATAATTCATTTGAATTTTCTGATTATTTTATATATATAATTTCCAAACTTTTCACATACTTTAACTTAAAATACATTTAATGTTCATTTACTTAAATCTTAGGTTTGCTTTTAGATTTCTCTACTTAAGTGCATTGTATTTATTTTTACATTAGAATAGAGAAATGTGTAGTGTAGTTCTTAATGCATTTATATTTATTGTAAATATTTTAATATTAGCATTTAGAATTAACATAACATCTTAACTTCTTGATTTTTCTAGTCTGAATCAATGGAAATTGAACAAAATCAAGTCAGTAAGCAAGAAGAAAAGGATATGGAACTAGATAACAGAACAGAAGAAAGAACACAGCCACAGCTAAAAACAGAACAGTGTGAAACATTTGAAGAAGGTGAAAAAGAAGAAATGGAAGAACAACAAGAAGCAACACCAAAACCTGAAACTGATCATGATAGATTAATTAAAGATGCTCAATTGTCAACTGCTGCAGCTGCAGCCTTAGGAGCTGCTGCAGTTAAAGCAAAAGTAAGATAAAATAAATTAGTAATGTAAAAAAATAATTATTATACATTTTTTGTAATAAAAAAATATTTAAATTTATTTTTAAGCATCTTGCTGCTGTGGAAGAAAGAAAAATAAAATCACTAGTTGCCCTACTAGTAGAAACACAAATGAAAAAGTTGGAAATTAAATTAAGGCACTTTGAAGAATTAGAAGCAATTATGGATCGTGAACGTGAAACAGTACTATTTGTCTTTTATTAAAATCGTTAATTTAATTTAGGATTACAATTTAAGTGTATTAATTTTTTAAATAATTTGTTTCTAGCTGGAATACCAGAGACAGCAGTTGATTCAGGAACGTCAACAGTTTCATATGGAACAGCTGAGGGCAGCTGAATTCCGAGCTCGTCAACAAGCTCAAGCTTTGTTGCTGGCTCAACAGGGTGGTACAAATGGCATTCCACCACCACATGGAGCTTCACTGGATCAAACTCAAGGAGTGGGTGCCACTGGTGACCCACCAGGCAATCTCCAAGGTCAGTTCCCTGCCCAACCTCGGCCAATGTTTCACCAGACAAGGTATCCTCCCATGGGTGTCCCATCCTACACTCAACCTGCAAGTCAGCCTCCCCCCCATGGGAATTATCCTGTTATCCATCAACAACAACAGTTAATGCCTGGAGCTCCAAATACTATTCCTCACCATCCTACTCCTCAACCTCATGTTGTAATCCATCCTCCCACCTCTATTCCTCGTGCTGGTCTCTATCCAGTACCACCAACCTCTAACTATCCCCCACTCGATGTCGGACAGGGGCCAAGACCCCCTTCTGGCACACAGGCACCACCTAATATGATTGCTGGCAACAACAATCCTGTTCCAGGTATGTAATCATAAAGTTTTTATTTAACTTTTGATATAAAGTAATAAGTTAGTCTGTTACCAATTAATGTTTAAAGTAATAAAAATCATATTTGTATGGAATAGATTTTTATATTTATTTTCATATTTAATTTTGTTTATATTTTGTAATTTATATATATATAATTTTAAAAAATCTATTATGTGAAATTATTCAGTTTTATATTATTGAATAAGTATTAAATATTAAAAGTATTTTTATATGAATGAAATAATAATTTAATTAAATGAAACTATATCATTTATATAATAAATATGAATCATTGCAATTAAAAATTTGATCATAATTTCAATTTTCTATTTTCACACTTCATTATAATCTTGTTTGTTTTTATATTATATACTTTAAACACAAATTGTAAACTAAAGTTGAGTTTAGCATTCTTTATTCTAAAAAATTATACATATATATTTTAATTTTTTTCTAGACTAAAATATTCAGATTATATTCATAATGTTTCCATAATTGTTAAGATTTAAGGAAAATTACAAAAAAATTTATTTTGAGCAATAGGAAACTTTAGACTGAAAAATTTGGTTCCAAATAACAATAGATTAGACAGAACTCTAAGTAATATTATATCAGTATTAAATTATAATAATGTAGCATTTAATAAATATTTTAAAAATTTATCAGCTTATCTGCAAAAGGTTTTATTTTTTTTTTTTACAGTTACAATTATAGTGGTAATTTGATTTTCTTAAACAATTATAGCAATAATTTGATTTTCTTAACAAGTAGTTATCCTTAATGTTATATAACTTATAGTACTGGTAACAAACAACATTTTAAATGTTGAATACCTTAAAAAACATATTATTAATAATAAAAATTAGTCTATCTTTAGACTAGAGATTTTTGATATACAGTGGGTGATCGGTTAACGAACAAATCGGATAACGAACACTTTCGCAAAAGATTTTTATGATCGGACAACGAACACATCTTTGGATAATGAACACTTCACTGAACAAACACAAGAAGAAGTGATGTAAAATAACAAATACTGATCAGTCTTCAGGCAACATTTCGAAACTTTTCGGAGGGCAGGAGACATTGACTTTGACATTCAATCCAGTATATACTGATCGGAGAGTATTTCCTTCGAACTTTGAAACTCTCTCTTGTAATTCTAGCCTTTTATATTTCTGATAGAAACAATTATTTTACGTTTTCTTTTGAAAAAGCGAATTTATGCCAATATCTGCTATTAAAGATCTTTTGAAGAAGTGGAAGGATGTCAGAACAACAGTCTTAGAATGGCATCCAAACCAGGTTGAGGTTAATAGGCTTAGGGATCTCTACAATTACAATGCTATTAATTACTTCTGAAAAATCTTGAAGAAGAGAGAAAAACAACAGGCATTAGACAGATTGTTTAACCCCCACAAATGGAAAAATCATGACTAATAAAAATGCAATACTGTGTATATACGTATTTTGATTATTACATATAAATAAACGTAGTAAGAAAGTATATGTTTTTTATTTTTGGGGTCTCCAGAACGAATTAATCAAATTCCCATAAAAACCCATGGTAAATTGATAATCGGTTAATGAACAATTCGGATAGCAAACAAAGTCTTGGAATGGATTATGTTCGTTAACCGATCACCCACTGTATAAGACAATGTTTTAAGTTCCAAAAGTCATATGACTTGCATTCTGGTGCTTTAAATGTTATGGCTTCACATAAATTCAACTTCAAAATACAGACACACACAGTGTCAATATCGCCACATATTTTTTGCAGCAGAAAACATTGCATTTAGAATTCCATTTTTCAATAAAATGTATTTAGAAAAAAAATGGCATTTACAACATTATGGCATTGCATACTTCAAATATTAAAATCTAAAAATGAAATTTAAGAGTTAACTCAATTTTTTTCATAAGCTATAAAAATGGGTCAAAACTTTTTTTTTATAAATATTCTCTAAAAATAATCAGTTAAATTAATCCAAAAGCATATTTTTTAATATGTAAGCACTGTCTAGTAAATATGAGAACTTATTTTGTTTCACAGAACTGTTCAAAGCACTGTATGAGCTGTATGGAACATACATTGAATTGTTCCATACTGCTCATATGATTGCTTTGTTATTAAAGATGGCATCAGAATGGTAACATTTGCAAGAACAAGAACAATGAATTGTGATAGTTTCTTGTAGTAGAAGATACTGTTTTTGAATGCTGCTAAAAGTGTGGTGTGCAATGAATTTCTGTGCTGCTAGTATGCAGCACAGAAATTCATTGCACACTTTTAGCAGCATTTAAAAACAGTATGGTAAAATCCAAACACTTATTGATTAAGCTTGAAGATATCCATGCTTCATTTGTAATCAGAACAATTCATACAATGGGATTTTATGAAGATATTGAAATACTATGAACTGGAGATACAGAAGCTAGGAGGCATCTTTCCCAAAATACTTCGGTCATCAATACAGAACAGACTAAAAGGCATATTAAAAAAGGATGCTGTTCTCAAAGGTGTGTACTTTGTTTGATAGAAGGTATTCAAATATTGCTCAGTGATGGTGAAAAAAACAGGCAAAGTATTATACACAAGAAATTGCTCTCCATAGCTTTGAAATCAGCACTACAAGAGCATCAAAGTATTCATAGACAAGAAGATGATGATGATGCAGTTACTATCCTAGAAGATACCAGTCTATCAAATTTTGAGATTTTGCAAGCAGCAAGAGATGAAAGAGTAGAACATGCCAGAGATAGGCCATATGAAGATAGAATAAAAATTAGACTGTAGAAACTCAATCAAATGGAAAGATTGCCACAGGAAATGAACATTCAGTGGCAGACCAGTCTTGCTTCAAGCCCTTTGAAGCAAGTTTCCCTAGTAGCCATGTTGACAGAGTCAGCATAGAACAATTATTTTCATTGCTCAGATTTATGTCAAGGATGACAGCAATAATAAGTGCAAATCATTTAAATAATGTGCTAACTGTGTGTGCAAATTCATAATTGAACATCAATGTTTGAATTAACAGTAATTGCATTTCCCCACACAAGTCAAATAAAAATTAGTTAGTTAACAAAATGACTGAAGCATTAATGTTTCAGTCATTGGTGTTCTTAATATGATTTATATTAAGTCTGGTGTATTTTTCATTGTAAAGTAGGACCTATGTATATATTTTAGCATACTTATACTGTAGCAGAGAACTAATGTCAGTTTAATGTTTATTGAGATTAAACATTGTATTCTGCATTATTACCTAATTTTAATTAAATTTACAAAACTCAGTGAATGTTAACATACAATTATATTCTATTGCCTTTATAGAATTTATTGGAAGACTCAAAACCAACTCTGCCATGGTACAAAATATTCATGCATCTAAGTCCTTCAGATTATAGAGTAACATTCTTGCAACATAGCAAAATGCAACAAAAAGATCTGTAATGTTATGGACAATGTAACAATACTATTTTCATAATCCACCCCTGAAAAAAAGTTGACCTTAATCAATGGTTGAATGGCAGTTAAGGCCTGTACTCAGTCTACTGCTTTGGACACCTGAGATTAAATCCAGGTGATTGAAAACCTCAGGAATGTTTTGGAGATCTGCCCCAGATATGTTGAGCCTTATCACTCACTATCTAATTACTGTAGGCCTGGTTAAATTCNGTTATTTTATTAAATTTAAATTAATATAAATGTAATATACAGTAATAAAGGAATATGAATGTAGTTTTAATTTTAAGTAAGTTTATATTTGTGTGTTAAAATACAACTTAGTTTAACTACATTTTTTGTAAAAAAATTGTAATTTTTTGTTGTACAAAACAATTATAAAAACATTCTCTCTTCATAATATGCTTCACACTTATTAAGAGCATTAAAACTGATTCATCTATATTGACATAAATGCATGATCCAGCACATTTTCTATAGGTTATGCATCACATTAATTTTTAGTATTGCTTAAAAATTATATTAACAGTTCTTCAAATTCCAACTGGACGACTTATTAAATATAATAAAATCTCACTAACCTCAAAAATTATCACCTTTGTAACGTTTTTGACATTCATTAATTGTAAATTATTTAACTGTCAATGACAGCATTTGGACCTAATTACTTTCCTCTTTTACAACTGGTAGTACATGGTGGTTTTAAAAGCTAATGACCAATATTTCTCACACTTGGACCGTGGTTTTACAAAGGATTTAGATTGACATCTGAAACTGAACCTAAATTTGAACTTGACCCAGATGGTTTAATTGACTTTTAATGATTGATGATCCTTATAAAAAAAATTGTTATATAGAAATTTAACTTCATTATTTAGAAGCAATTTTACATATATTTGAAAGAGCAGTGTATAATGCAAAAATTTGCTACATAGAAGTTTGTAATATGGAAGTTTGACTGCATATAAAAATAAACTTCAAATATTTGGTTTAACTAGTAAATATTTTTGAATCAATGATGCTTGTTACATTCAAAAATTTCTTGTGCTTTTTCAGATTCAACAAATTCTAATATTCATTAAAATATTAAATAAATATGGATTCATACTAATTTACTTCTTAATCAATAAAGTTTAATTATTATTTTGACGTTTTCTGTAAAGTTTATATTATAATAACATTCAGACAAAATTGGAGCCCTTAATTCTTAAAATTGTTGATTTTCTTTGAATAAAATAATTTAGAAATAATTATTCAACAAATACAATTTTGCAAAAAACAAAAACAAAAAAAAAAAAAACTCTCACATACAAATATAAAAATTTAAAGCTATCAAAAGAGAATGTAATTATATTAAAACAAATACAATCTACAATTCTTAAATTATTAAAAATAAATTTCACAGAAAACTTAAAATTTATAATCTTACTTACATTTATTATTTGGGCATTTAATTCTGCTGTTAAATTAGATCTGTTTGATATATTTTTAAACATTCCATGTAATGCTTGTAATGAACAAGATATCACCAACTGAAATATAAAATAATCAAATAATTTTAATTGAAACACAATTATATATTAAATTCTTATTAATCTAATCTTATTTAACATTAGAACATTATAAGCTTTATTCTTGCCAACAGTATGCAAGAATAAAGCTTTATTTTTAATCTATACATTCATTACTGTTAATATATTAAACATATTAAAATGAAGTATTTTTAAAACTATTATTAGCAAAAAATTTTTCTTTTTATTCTTCTAAGTATCACAAGTAAAAAAAAATATATATAAAATCTGTTTACTTGTTGATCTCTATTATACTTATAAAGAACCTAGATTTTATACTACTGTTATATCTAGAATCATTATAATATTACAATGATTCTAGATATCTGAGATATCTGCTGGTGATAGAAAATGGCAAATTTTTTCCTGTCTCTCTACAGATCATCATTTTGTATAAATTTCTTATTTACACATTCATTTATTTTTCTCAACATAAATCAATTATTGTTATTTTGTTAAATAATTTAGTTCAGTTAAATTTGTAATAAATAAGCATTCATTTTAAGTATTAGAATATTCCACTATCATATGTTTATATTTTTTTTATTCATTCAGTTTTGTTTATATCCTGATTCTCACCAATACTATTGATTGTTTCTTGTCTTCTACTCTAAAGCACATATTAATCTTTAATATAATATTTACCATGACATAGTCAAAAAACTAATTTAATCATTACATTTGCAACCTACATACTTTGAGATATATATAAAATAATTAAAATTAAGAACATTTTACTAACAGGCAATATATATTATACAGATACACTTCAATGGATAAGAAATGTATTCGGTATTCTTGCATTTATAAGGTCATTTATGATCTAAGCAATTAATAAAAATTGATACAGTGATTTGTTTACTTTTTAGTTATTGAATAAATGTAATTTTTTGAACATTTTTGATTTTTTCAATAAATGATTTATTAAAAATTACTTTAGCCACCACTAAGTTGTTAAGATCATAAATTACATAAATGCGAGAAAACCAAATATCTTCCTAAACTTTAAAGTGGTCGGCAATTCAACTTCATAACATGATCTTTGAACTTTCACCAAATAAATGCAGTTGTCTTAACCTTAAAAATGTTTCTTTTTCATTATTACTTTACTATGGTTCTTGTGAAATGAATGATAACTAGAGTAATGTTTATGGTTTCTTGGTACCATAGGCTTAATTCCAACAATAAGACAGAAGTTTAACAACATTAATATGTATAAAAATAAATGGTAATTGACAACTTAACCAGATTAGTATTCTCTAACAGATAATGAATATTGTTCAGTTTTTACAACCTGCCTTCCTCCCCTATTCCTATTTTAAGTCAGTCTTTATTTGACACCTATTATCAAAATTCATCCTCTGAAAGAGTATTTGAACTAATTCTTTGTTTTAATTTTAAAATATTTCATACATATTTAATTATTTCAGAATATTGAAGGCAGGACTTTGTGTTTTCATAAGGTAGGTTATAGACAACAGCATCCATTATTTAGTGTCCGCTATTTAGAGGAAAATATTATAGATGTCTCATTTGAAGGTTTTGAGGATTGTAAAAATTTTCATTAAGTAGAGATGTCCACTATTTCGAAGTGTTCATTAATGGAGGTTTCATTGTAGTTGGATTGCTAAATAAATTTTGTCATGATATATATATATTAAACTATTTATATTTATTCAATATCAAAAGTGAGGCATCACCATTATATTCATTTGCTTCAACAGATAATCAAATTATTACTAAAATAATTTATTAAATTTATACACACCGCATTTCCAAGAGTCATTATTTTCAAAATAACTTCACAAGTTAATTTTAGTTGGGAAGTAGGAAAAACACAGAGAATTTCTTTCAATAATCCAAGAACATGAAGAGTAGCAGTTGAATTTTTTCCTCCTAAAATAATATTAATTAATAATTTCATATTTAATAAAAAAAATGTGATAAAATATAGTCATTATTTTTACAATACCTCCATTTTCTTCAATACTTTTGATGCAAAATTTTGATGTCATTGTGGAAGCTGGATGGCAAGTTATATTCTGTCCCTGAATTACAATATCACTTCCCTTCAAAATGGAGCAAACAGCATGTTGTGCTGCTTTGCGTAACTAAAAAGAAATTTAATATAGTTTATAATAACCATATTTAGATTTGTAACTTATTAAGTTTTAAACATATCATTATTTCCTAACTTATTACAAATTTTAAGTTTTAGATTTTTTTAATATTAAATTAAATCATCAAAATTGTTCATTACAATAAATTCATAATATACTTAGATATAGAGTTGGATAGGGCAAAACTAATTTTGCATTTTATAACATTACATAATATCAAGTTAAAAATTGAGAACATATTTCATATCTATATAAATTAATTATGACTGAAAGTGAAAATCCAAATTTTGAATTATTTTTCAATTTTATAGCAGTTGTGAAACATTTTAATTACATAAAATCTTAATATGATTTCTGTAAAATTTCATTTCAAAATTTTTCTCTCAATTTTCCACAATATTTTTAATTCTCTCTCATTCACTGATAAACATCTATCTATAAAAAACAAAACATATACCTAAATTTCATTTCTCATGTGAAATTTAGATATATGTTTTGTTTTTTATAGTGTCAGAAAAAGATTAAAAACAAACTTCAATAATTTAATAATAGTTGTATTTCTCTTCTACTTGAATAGTAGACCATAAGCAAAATTTTTGTAATAAACAAAATTTATTTAAGTTAATATTAAAGTTATCATAATCAATTATAAAAAATATGATTGATTAATAAAAAAAATTAAAAAATTTAATTAATAGCAATTATCAATAAGTATTGAAATTAATGTAGTAGTAAAATCTGTTATATCAATTCACATTTTATGAATTATATGAACTGAATAATAAAATATGAATTTATGTCTTTCTATAGAATACACATTTTTATTTACAATACCTTCGGTTTAGAATGTGTAGTTAGCACAAGTATATTATTGTAGATTTTAAGTGTTAAAGGAAGGTTCCAAATAGCTGCTTCTTGATGTCTTAAAAGGATAGCAATACATTGTATAATCTATATTAAAACAAAAAATTTGTTATTAGAACATATTTTATAAATCCCTGTTGTCTCAAGAATAAGCCAAACAATTAAAATTTTATTTCTTATTATTAAAAACAATAAATGAAGCATGCAATGCTATAATGTTCTAAATGTCAAAAACAAACTTTTCAGATGTAAAAAACACTTTTTTTTTGTGAATGAATTCATTTCAATTTTACAATAAAATACTAAAAACGTATGTTACAAATTCTCTGGAATATCAAAATGATGTAAATACAGTGGGTGATCGGTTAATGAACAAATCAGATAATGAACACTTTCGTAAAAGATTTTTATGTTCAGACAATGAACACCTCACAGGACAAACACAAGACGAAGTGACGTATAATAATGAATACTGATTGGTCTTCCCTTGTCTTCAGGCAACAATCCGAATCTTTTTGGAGCACAAGAGACGTTGACATCGATGCTCAACCCAATATATACTAATCATATAGCATTCCTCCAAACTTTGAAATTCTTCCCTGTAATTCCAGCCTTTTATTTTTCTGACAGAAACAATTCTTTTATAGTATTTGCGAGACTGTTGGACGGGCACTTGTTAAGTTTTGCATCAGTTTTATTTTCAAAAGATGAGAGTATAATAGCAAAGGTAGAGAGTGGGCAGATGTCTGATGTCTATTGTTGCTGGTCAGTATGGCTCGAACAAGTCTACAGTAGGCCACAGTTCAATCTTATCTATGAAAGATACTGTATTATCAAGACAAAGCAAGCAGCTTAAGGAGTAACAAAAATCACATCTGAGAAATAAAGAACATTGAAGAGCTCATATTGGAACCTGAAACTGATCTGATGACAGAAGAACGCCAAGAACTCTTAAATGAAGAACACCAAGAAACTCAGTGAGATATATTTTCTTCTGAAAAAGATAATTAATGTCGATATCTGCTATTAAACATTTTTTTGAAGTGGAAGGATGTCAGAACAACAGTCTTAGAATGGCATCCAAACCAGGTTGAGGTTAATAGGCTTAGGGATTTCTACAATTACAATGCTATTAATTACTTCTGAAAAATCTTGAAGAAGAGAGAAAAACAACAGGCATTAGACAGATTGTTTAACCCCCACAAATGGAAAAATCATGACTAATAAAAATGCAATACTGTGTATATACGTATTTTGATTATTACATATAAATAAACGTAGTAAGAAAGTATATGTTTTTTATTTTTGGGGTCTCCAGAACGAATTAATCAAATTCCCATAAAAACCCATGGTAAATTGATAATCGGTTAATGAACAATTCGGATAGCAAACAAAGTCTTGGAATGGATTATGTTCACCCACTGTATAAGACAATGTTTTAAGTTCCAAAAGTCATATGACTTGCATTCTGGTGCTTTAAATGTTATGGCTTCACATAAATTCAACTTCAAAATACAGACACACACAGTGTCAATATCGCCACATATTTTTTGCAGCAGAAAACATTGCATTTAGAATTCCATTTTTCAATAAAATGTATTTAGAAAAAAAATGGCATTTACAACATTATGGCATTGCATACTTCAAATATTAAAATCTAAAAATGAAATTTAAGAGTTAACTCAATTTTTTTCATAAGCTATAAAAATGGGTCAAAACTTTTTTTTTATAAATATTCTCTAAAAATAATCAGTTAAATTAATCCAAAAGCATATTTTTTAATATGTAAGCACTGTCTAGTAAATATGAGAACTTATTTTGTTTCACAGAACTGTTCAAAGCACTGTATGAGCTGTATGGAACATACATTGAATTGTTCCATACTGCTCATATGATTGCTTTGTTATTAAAGATGGCATCAGAATGGTAACATTTGCAAGAACAAGAACAATGAATTGTGATAGTTTCTTGTAGTAGAAGATACTGTTTTTGAATGCTGCTAAAAGTGTGGTGTGCAATGAATTTCTGTGCTGCTAGTATGCAGCACAGAAATTCATTGCACACTTTTAGCAGCATTTAAAAACAGTATGGTAAAATCCAAACACTTATTGATTAAGCTTGAAGATATCCATGCTTCATTTGTAATCAGAACAATTCATACAATGGGATTTTATGAAGATATTGAAATACTATGAACTGGAGATACAGAAGCTAGGAGGCATCTTTCCCAAAATACTTCGGTCATCAATACAGAACAGACTAAAAGGCATATTAAAAAAGGATGCTGTTCTCAAAGGTGTGTACTTTGTTTGATAGAAGGTATTCAAATATTGCTCAGTGATGGTGAAAAAAACAGGCAAAGTATTATACACAAGAAATTGCTCTCCATAGCTTTGAAATCAGCACTACAAGAGCATCAAAGTATTCATAGACAAGAAGATGATGATGATGCAGTTACTATCCTAGAAGATACCAGTCTATCAAATTTTGAGATTTTGCAAGCAGCAAGAGATGAAAGAGTAGAACATGCCAGAGATAGGCCATATGAAGATAGAATAAAAATTAGACTGTAGAAACTCAATCAAATGGAAAGATTGCCACAGGAAATGAACATTCAGTGGCAGACCAGTCTTGCTTCAAGCCCTTTGAAGCAAGTTTCCCTAGTAGCCATGTTGACAGAGTCAGCATAGAACAATTATTTTCATTGCTCAGATTTATGTCAAGGATGACAGCAATAATAAGTGCAAATCATTTAAATAATGTGCTAACTGTGTGTGCAAATTCATAATTGAACATCAATGTTTGAATTAACAGTAATTGCATTTCCCCACACAAGTCAAATAAAAATTAGTTAGTTAACAAAATGACTGAAGCATTAATGTTTCAGTCATTGGTGTTCTTAATATGATTTATATTAAGTCTGGTGTATTTTTCATTGTAAAGTAGGACCTATGTATATATTTTAGCATACTTATACTGTAGCAGAGAACTAATGTCAGTTTAATGTTTATTGAGATTAAACATTGTATTCTGCATTATTACCTAATTTTAATTAAATTTACAAAACTCAGTGAATGTTAACATACAATTATATTCTATTGCCTTTATAGAATTTATTGGAAGACTCAAAACCAACTCTGCCATGGTACAAAATATTCATGCATCTAAGTCCTTCAGATTATAGAGTAACATTCTTGCAACATAGCAAAATGCAACAAAAAGATCTGTAATGTTATGGACAATGTAACAATACTATTTTCATAATCCACCCCTGAAAAAAAGTTGACCTTAATCAATGGTTGAATGGCAGTTAAGGCCTGTACTCAGTCTACTGCTTTGGACACCTGAGATTAAATCCAGGTGATTGAAAACCTCAGGAATGTTTTGGAGATCTGCCCCAGATATGTTGAGCCTTATCACTCACTATCTAATTACTGTAGGCCTGGTTAAATTCATGATAAGTAGTACAATTAAAAGGCCCTTCAGTGTCCACAGAAAAAAAATTTTTTTTTTTCCTTAGAATTAAAATCAAATAAAGATTTTTTAAAAGTTTATTTTTTTATTTTCAAAAGTTTATTATTTGTATACTGGCACAATGAAGTGACTTTTCTTCAACACTAGGCAAGTTTCAATCTTTATTCAGTTAGATTGAAACTTGCCTAGTGTTGAAGAAAAGTCACTTCATTGTGCCAGTATACAATACATAAATACAACACGGTTTCGACAACAACAACAGTTTATTATTTATTATTAAAACGTGTTAAATCAAAACAAATCATATAAAAAGAATTTTTTTCCAGACCATATATATCAAATTTACAAAAAAACCCCTACATATAAACAGAACTGAGTGTACTACAGAGACAGAAAACGATGATAAAGACACTATTTGCATATACTACAATGAAAGATATTTGGAAACATGAACAGTTGATATTTATAGAAAATATATTTCGTTTTGACTATACATACATAGATGAGTCTTTGTCAATTTTCTGTCCCTTCACACACTGTACGAGGCAATAACAATTCCACCGGCGAAGTCGACCTTTCTATGTAGGCTACCATTCGCCGTAAAATGTAAAACAGTTAATAACATCCTCTAGCGATAGCATAACACAATTAATAATTACATTTTAACAAAATGTAATTATTAATTGTGTTATGCTACCGCTAGAGGATGTTATTAACTGTTTTACATTTTACGGCGAATGGTAGCCTACATAGAAAGGTCGACTTCGCCGGTGGAATTGTTATTGCCTCGTACAGTGTGTGAAGGGACAGAAAATTGACAAAGACTCATCTATGTATGTATAGTCAAAATGAAATATATTTTCTATAAATGTCATAATTTGTCCTGGCAATTTTTTATTTTTTAACAAAATGAACAGTTGATCTTTGCCAGGGGTATATGTAGAATGCACCAACATTGAAGCAAATGATACTGTTTTATTTGCAAAAAAACTGAAAGTTTAATAAATTTATTTTGAATTTAAACTTGTTTTTCTGTGTTTTTAAAGTAAGCTGTAAACTTGCCGTGTATGAGAGACAAGTTCAGAAATTTGATTGAGCAGCTCTTAAAATTTGCTTATTATTCAAAAATAGTAGTTCACTTCCAGGTGCATGCTGTGTTATACTTTACATAAAAACTCAATCTTTGAAAATGTGCCAGTAAATATCAATAAAATTTCTACATCAAGAGAGATAAACATTTTCCTTAGCATACCAAACTTGTCTTGGTTTTCTAAATAAAAAACAGAATTTTCTGTTTTTATGTGGGAAACCAGGGCAAGTTTGCTTAAAAGAAACTTGCTTCAAGAAGTTATAAATGATTTCTTCTAAAAACAACAAAAACAATTGATATATCTGGTGTGAATATTTGATTAGTAATAAGATTTGGAATTGGTTTCTTATATAATAATTGATAAAATTTGTTTTTTGTTATTTTTGATAAAAACATCAAAAACAATTAATAAAAACTCTAATTGTACAATACTTACAGAATATACAAACACTGCATAAATGCTCTAAATAAATTTAGATAATTTATGAAAGAAATAAAATCCAACATTATATAATACTAAAAACAAACTTTAAAACTGGGAAATTTATAAGTTATATAACTTCATTAAATAGTACTCACACCACGAACAAGAGCCTGATGGACAGTATTCTCATATTTTTCTAGAAAGGTAATAAGAATTTTAGATGTTTCCGAGAACTTTAATTTTAACACTGAAGGAGTAACTCTGGAAAGAAAAATGTATACATAAAAAATTATTACAGAATTCCAATTTGAATTAATTTAGAACTTTTTGTATAAAATAAGAATATGCAAAATTCAAGTTACCATATACATCTGATAAGTGTTTGATCATTCTCATCATATTAATATTGAAAAAATTAAATATTTCTAACAATATCAAAAAATACAATAAACTGTAGTGAAAACTTGCTACAACACTCCTTTATGGTGCTACCCTCACAAAACACAAATAAATACTTGTGAATGGATCTTTGCTATAAATATTAAATAGGGAACTCTTAAGTGTCTTTGAATTACTAAATGTTTGCTTTAACATTGCAAATCGCATTATTATTATCAAATTATGTTACCTTCAAACTCAAATTTGTGCTTAGACTTCATTACTATATACAATTGTTATAGTTTGATATTCTTTCATTTAGTGCCACATTCAATTTGGTGGAATTTCATAGCTGGTTAAACCAGGGCTGGATTTGAGGCGATTGGAGTGATTTGCGCCAATTGGGCCCCACACTTGAAGGGGCCCAGAAAATCAAAATTTATATATTTAAAAATGGTTTCAAATTACAGAATAGATCAGCTTAGCAATCATGTTGATTGAGAGTCAAGAAGCAAGTCAGTTGGATTTTGATACTATTTTAGAAGATTTTACTAAACAAAAACTTCGGAACATATAAAACATCTCTTATAGAATGACTTTTGATTTTTATAATTAGATTTTGGATTTTGCTTTAAATAAATATTTAAAATCTATATTTCAATATGTAAATTAACTGTTAATTAATTTTGTTATTAAAAGATTGAGGGGCCCCGCAAAAAAAATTCAATCTGGCCTCACACCTATTGCATCAAGCCCTGGGTTAAACAACTGCACTAAAACCCGATACATTATATTACTAAAAGTCAAACCAAGGCCATATGTCATCAGGTTGGCAAACTGAGATTCTAAATAAGTTTAACAGTATTTGTTAACTTGAATTTAGCAATCTCATTTTATAGCTATTCTTAAACTAAATATGCTGTAATACAGTAAAAGCTTGATATTAAGGATCTCATATTATTATAGACAGCTGATGGCAGTCTAGCCAAAAGTATAGGAAACTATAAGAAAACTCATTCACTGTAATGGACTTCTTTATAACAGACTATTTTTCAGGTCCTACAAATCACTATCGTTTCATTTTTACAAATTTTCTTGTCGCTGATTTACTCTGTTGCAGTCAATATAAAATTAATTTTTTATCAGTCTTTCATCATAAATTTTCACTTTACATCTAGTTTTTGTTTCGTTTTCTTATCAACTACTTTTGTTCAGTTTTAGTTTTGTTTTTCTCTATGAGTAATGAGTCATGAATTTGTTGTGAAAAGTAAAGCCATTGATCATAAAAGAAACCAAAAAGTTTTAGATATAACACAAAAGACAGATATAATTTGTCAGATTAAAGATGGAAAATCTCAATCTGAAGTTGGTAAAGAAATGTAAGCAGACAATTTCAGACATTTGGAAAGTAGGAAAAAATAAACCAGAAACGAGTTGCTCAACTTTCCCGGCAACATTTAAAATTTTGGTGGCACCATTTGTTATCGAATTTTATTAAAAACTTTTTGTATTTTTAACTATTATAAAATGGCAAAAAGCTTAATTTTGAGGGTAAGAATGAATTTTATAAAAAAATTGTAAATGCTAATAATGAGTAAAATAGTCATTAAGTCCAACCAACCTTACTGGAGATATATGATTTCCATTATCTATCCACCCTCTTGACTTTTAACCAGCAAAATTTAATAGCATCAATCTCCCTAATAAACAAATCTCACTGCAAAATTTCAGAAATTTTTGACAAAAAGCACAGGAGTTATTAAGCTTCAAACAGGGCAAACAAACTTTTGCCCACCACACACTAACATCCATACATACAGGAAAAAAAAACCTGAATTTTTTTGCATTTCTTGACATTTCAAGGTGTCCTGAGTCAAAAATCTGTGGGAGAGATCATTTTTTGCTGAATCACCATATATGTCTGTTATAACAGCTAGGAAAGCAACAAGAAAAGGTAAAAAAAAAGTAAAAAGTCTTATAGTAACCCGGTTATATAATTTAGGCTGCAGAGTAGGGTAAAATTTTAAATTAAGAAAAGTATAGCCTTTTTTACTCTTCATCTAACAAACACTTTAATCTAACAGTAATTTTTTTCATGTATGCAATTTTGTTGCAGTTGGCACTTATCCTGAAGTTGAAAACCAGTGTGATCAAGATCTGTTGTAATGTTGGTATTTGAACATAGATTCAAATTCTTTTTGAACTGTATAGTAAAATACCTTTTGATATAATGGATGAGTCTGTAATAATGAGTATCATGAAAAAATGGACTTTCATTATAATGGACCAATTTCTTCAGTCCCATGATGGTCTGTTATATCGAGCTTTACTGTACAGGTATCTCTCATTCTTTATATCGAGCTTTACTGTACAGGTATCTCTCATTCTTTATATCGAGCTTTACTGTACAGGTATCACAGTAGTTACATTCCAAAAAAGTGCATGTTATGTAAATCTGTGCAAAATGAAACAAAAAAACTAATACAAAACATGGGGTTAGGTTCCAAAAGTTAACAAAAATATACTATTCTTTTTTGTTATTAAGAGAAATATGTTTATAAAAGCAATCAATAATTCATTTACAATCAACAATTAACTACAGTATGTTTTATTGTGGTTGCAAAATAAAACATACTGTATGACGCATTAATATTAATTTTAGTTAAAAGAGGTTATCTTCTGAGCTTTTTTGTTGATCTTGACCAAAAACATCAGCAATATCTTCATTTTCTTTTTATGGATGACAAAATAATAACAACAACAGGTTATTAATCAAAAATTTGTTCTAGAATACAAAGTGATTTTTTCCCAGAATCTATATTCAAATACCAAGTTGTTCAAGTTGGGAACTGTTCAAATACTGAGATAACACTGTATTTTGTTCATCATTTTTATGAATAAAGTAATCATTCATAGGTAAGTAATAACTATGATTAAAACTTAAAGTCTGAAGCAACAGTGGCTAAAGCGTGAAAGCAATGACAATGACACTTGGTTGATAGGAAAACCAGGAAAAAGGAAGAAAAATTGCACTATCAGTTTTCATTAAAGTAAACCTGATGAAAGGCACAAAACATATTGAAAATTTCAATATTCTAAAATCCATAGGCAAATTTGAGACAACATGCATACTTACTTGAATAAAAAATAAATAAATAAAAAATAGAATAATAGATTTTACACTTAAAAATTGTGAAATTTTGTACAGAGGATTTCCAAAGCCATGTTAGAGCAAAACCAAAAACCATGTTGTACAGGGGATTTTCCCAATTTTTGAACCATATTTGAGTGAAACAGTGTTGTAGAAGTGCCATGTTGTACCATTTATGAGGGATACCTATATTTCATGTTAATATTTTGAAAAGTGAAATATGCAATAAAACAAATAAGACTTTTCAATAATATAATTTATTATTTGACAATTTTATAAATTGTTAAATAATAAAAAGAAGAGAATAATATAATTCATTTCAATTTTCATGACAATATAAATTTATATATTTTAGAAGTTTACTTTATGAATTTAAGCAAAACAACAAATAACAGCTATTATACCAAAACCTAATGAATAAAAATTGTTTCAAGAAACATTTTTGCTTTAGTAATAACCTTTCTTAACTTATAATAATTAAATATACTTAAACTTGTTGGCATTTTATAAAAAATCCATACAGGAAATCATCTTTGTTAGTTTGAAATTCAAGAAACAAAATAATCATGACTTCAAATTATTATGTGCAAGGCAAAACCATTTGATTTGTTTTTATGAGCATTATGGACATTAAGATGTAATGTTGTTCTCCAGTGAAGAATGGTAGAACCAAGAAAACTAATGAGTTAGGGATGAATTTTATAGATGTAAAGTGTGTGTGCAGCAACCAAGTGTGTGGGACACTGTCAAATGCTTCTCTGTAATCATTGTATGCCTTATGTAGTGTATGTTTCTGTGTTGCTTATGAACTTGTTGTAGGATAACAGAGTAAATGAGTAGTTGTTTTTTGCAATCTTTGTGATTTCTACAGCAGCCTTTCTGTTGTTCTGTAAGAATATCACGTTCATCAATATGCCTGCATATTTTGTTTGTGATACAAGATGCAAGAAACTTGTAAAGTGTTGGAAGACAATTGATCTATATTGTGCAAGATCTTTGGTGTTGATGTTTTTTGATTTCATGTAGGTGATGCCTCGTGTGAGAAAAATTGGCATGTCATGTGGATTGTTGATGATCTGAGTTAAATGTTTGGGTAGTTCCTGGTGCAGAGATGTGAATTTTTTGTACCAGAAATTGTGAATGTTATCTACACCAGGTGCTGTCCACTTGTATGTTTTCTACATTGTACAATGGATGTCTGATATATTTATTTCAACACAATGCATACTAGGTATGTCCTGCATATTTTTGCTCTGCTCTTTGATCCAATCTGCATCAGTATTGTGCTTGACAGCAGTAAACTAAAGAGAAGACCAATAATTTGTGAGTTCTTCATTTGGCATACCATTGTGCTGGGAATCAGTAGTGGATTTGGTATTAATTTGCCTGTAGAAGATTTTTTTATTGTTTGTGAATATTTTGTTGTTTTTTTGTACAGAGCAAATTTTGTAACATTTGAGTTAAAGTGCTTTGGCTGCAAGTTTTTATTTGAGTGTGTCAATGCATTTAATTTATTATTATTATGCTGGGTTTAGTGGGTTATACTCGGTTGACACAGGTGGCTGTGTACTATGCCAAATCAGAGTCAAGGCATAGCAACCAAAACAAAACTAAAATTAAATAAATGTGTCAGTGTCTGTGTCTGTATTCAGGAATTTCCTAACAATATGGCATGTATTCAATATGTGAACCGCAGGGAAGGTTGGAAACGGTCGCTCCTCTCTTTCTGGCAACAGGTCATTAAACCTGCTCACTTGTCAAGATGGCTAAATTACAATGTCTGGTCCCGAGGATCGGGACTCTCAGATATTGGTAGAGTGGAGGGAGAGTATTTGGGGTCGACGATAAGGTGTAGGCAGTATACGAGTAAAGGAGTCTACCATTTAACAATTAAAACAAGAATTTATTAAAATAGACAAGATTAACAAAACCGCAGATACTAATATTGACACTAATCTGCCTAACTGCTCAAGAGAGAGTTTATATGCTTTTCCATACCTCTATGTACGTTTCCGTGAAGATTCAAGTTCAGTACTACACATTGATATACATTAAGTGGTCATTAGGATAATCCAAATGTTGCACAAATATAAAAACTTGTGACTGGGGCGACAGACGAAGATCGATTTGGGAAGTTTGGAGTTTACGGCAGGTTTGGAGATTCTACTAGATGGGATCTGATGTCTTTGGTCCGGCTTTCGTTCAGAGACTCCCCCGAGAGGAGGTAAGAAGCATCTTTTATAGCTTTTTGCTGAGAAAATCGGTCATGTGATCTGTTATTATATGAGATAAAGGTTACAGGTGTTCCCAGGACCAAAAACAAGTGANCATTAAGTGGTCATTAGGATAATCCAAATGTTGCACAAATATAAAAACTTGTGACTGGGGCGACGGACGAAGATCGATTTGGGAAGTTTGGAGTTTACGGCAGGTTTGGAGATTCTACTAGATGGGATCTGATGTCTTTGGTCCGGCTTTCGTTCAGAGACTCCCCCGAGAGGAGGTAAGAAGCATCTTTTATAGCTTTTTGCTGAGAAAATCGGTCATGTGATCTGTTATTATATGAGATAAAGGTTACAGGTGTTCCCAGGACCAAAAACAAGTGACAAAATTTGGAGGCTAACTATAAACTTTTGTGCAAGTTGAGCTGCATGCTGTGTGAGAACAATAGAATGTTGACAGTTATGAAAGGAGGGTTTACACATTCCCAGCTAAGATCGTTTTTCTGTCACTGCATTATATAACAAAAGTAAGGATAATTAAAATTTTTAGATTAATAAAATTCCAGATCTCACAAATATAGTGGCCTTCTGTAGTGAGATGTATGTATTTCTACTCAATTGTAATGTTCCCAGGCTTTTGTGCAGTGTGTGGGGTATCACACCTGTAGAAGAGAGAACAACAGGTACAATAAGCACTCAATCCATCCTCCACAGATGTTTTATTTCCTGGGTGAGTTCTGTATACTTGCTAATTTTTTCAGTGAATGTGTTTTGTATATTGTGAGTGTTTGGAATGGATATGTCTATAATGTATCATATGTGATTTTATTGTGTTTGTCAATGAGTGTGATGTCTGGTCTGTTGTGGTAAATTATTTTATCTATGATTATGGCTCTGTCATAGTACATTTTGTGCATGTTGTTTTCCAATACTGTCTGTGGAATGTATTTTTAGTATGGTTTGTGGATGTCTAATAATTTGTGTTTGTTTGCAAGCTATTGGTGGCATAGTACACAGCCACTGATGCCAACCGAGTATAACCCACTAAACCCAGCATAATAATAATAAATTAAATACATTGACATACTCAAATAAAAACTTGCAGCCAAAGCACTTTAATTCAAATGTTACAAAATATTTGCTACTGGATTATATCTGTAAATAATCTGTGTGCGCCAAGAGCTTGCACCCAGAAGTGATGTGTTGTATAGTTTCTGGCATGATGTGACATTTTCTGCATGTGTCATTCGTGAATGTTGTATCTTTGAGTATATGTTTTCTGTAGTTTTTAGTATTTATGACCTGATCCTGTATTATTATTATTGATTATTATATTAAAATAATATTAACAATCTAAAATTTATATATGAAGCATATAATGCCATAATGTTGTAAATGCCAAAAAGTTTGTTTTTTGGCATTTACAACATTATTAAAAGATAAAAAAAAAATAATAATAATAATAAACACTTTTTCTAGTGATTGAAATGAATTCCTTCAAGTTTTGAAGGAATTCATTTCAATTTTACAATAAATGGTAAAAAGCTCACTATGTTACAAATTCTCTGGAATAACAAAATTATGTAAACATAAGCTGTAGCATTTTAAGTGCCAAAAGTCATATGACTTGCACTTTGGCACTTAAAACACTACTGCTTGCACATAAATTCAACTTCAAAATACAGCTACTTACAGCACCACTATTGCCCAATATTTTTTTGCAGCAGAAAACATTGTGTTTAGAATTCATTTATTCAATAAAACATATTTAGAGAAAAATAGCATTACATATGTTTGTACAGTACATACATATATACCATACATACATACACAGTATATAAATGACTTATTTTTTAATAATGTAATTTAGAATCTATTACAAAATTAGTTAATTGTCCAGTTTAATTTTAATGACAAAATATTTACCTTTTCATAACCAATGTCAACAATGATAAAATTGCTGTTACACTTTCATCTGTCTCAGCAGTTTCTAAAGCTGTTACCTAAAAATTAATTGTTCATATAATTGATTTATTACTAGTTAATAACTTTAACACTTTAGTGAAAAAAGTTAACAATGGTAACAGAATATTACCAATGCAGCAAAGTATTCTGTTTCAGTTTCTTTTCCACCATTAGATTTAATTATCTCTGTCACAGCAGCAAGAACACTTAGCATTTCTTTGTGAAGAGCAGAACTTGATTGCCAATTTCTTAAAAGCCTAAAATATCATTATTAAAATGTAAAATTTATAAAATTATCTAATAAAATTTTTTAAAATTAAAACTGTATTTACCTATCAAAACACACATTTGAACATTCTGACCACATTGAGGCAAAGGATTCCACACCCAAACTCTTTGTATCATCATTTACATCCATATTATCATTAGAAACTTTATTATATACTTGATTATGATGTTGTAAAGCTTGCAAAGTTAGACTGCTTTTGTCTGAAAGAACAAAAGCAGAAAAATGAATTCATTTGAATAATTATAGACAATACAAAAATGTAAATATTAGTAGCGCACATAAAATTATCATATTTTAATCTAACATAATAAATGTCACATGAATTTTTTTTGTGGCAGAAATTTTATATTTCTACCACAAAAATAATAAATAAATAAAATTCTATACAAAATTTCAATCTTCTAGATCAGGGATGAGCAACACGCGGCCCGTTAAAAATGTTTATGCGGCCCGCCAAGCATTTTTAAAATTGAATTTATTTTATCGACTTTCTCCCATCAATATATTGTTATAAAATTAATTATAATAAAATGGTAGTACATACTAAACCGAAACAATTTTTTGTGACGATTTTTCAATTTCATTAGAAAAGATTATTGGTATATCGACAGATGGATCACGAGCAATGTCATGCATGGAGGTAGGAGTATCAGGAAGGCTATTTCAAGACATTAAGAAGGTCACAGGAAGGGAAATATTCGTTAACCACTGCACAATTCACCAGGAAAATTTGTGTGCGAAAAGATTGAGTTTGCCAAATGTAACAGTACCAATAATTAAACTAATCAATTTTATAAAGTCGCGCGCGTTAAATCACCGTGAATTTAAAGAATTCCTGAAAGATTTAGAAACTGAATATGGCGACGTGGTTTTTAATACCGAAGTACGTTGGCTTAGTAGAGGTGCAATGCTAAAAAGAGTATACAACTTAAAAAGCGAAATACAATTGTTCTTGGATATGAAGGGATATGCCTTTCCTCATTTTGGTAATAAAGAATGGATGTGCGATTTTGGGTTTCTTATCGACATGACTCAGCATCTCAATGATCTTAATGTGGAACTTCAAGGCAAAGGACAGTTTATTCACAATTTGTATGATAAAATTCAGGGCTTTGAGCGCAAATTAAAATTGTGGAAACAGCATCTTTTGCAGAATAACGTGTCTCACTTTCCACATTTAGAAAAAGAAAACGTTACTACTTCTCAAAAATACGCACAATATATAGACATTTTAATCAACGAATTTCAATTACGATTCCAAACGTCCAAAGCTAAGAAGACAGCGGTTTCCATGAAAATCTTTTCCTCGCCATTTAATATCGATGTGGATACAGTTCCCGAAGACTTCCAAATTGAAGTGATTGATATGCAGAATAATATCGATTTAAAAAATGTATTTTTCTCAGTAAACATCGAAAATTTTTATAAATCTTATGTGAGCCCTGAGAAATTTCCGGTTTTGACAAAAAATGCAAAGCAAATGATGTCTCTGTTCAGAAGTACGTATGCTTGCAAACAATTATTTTCAACCATGAAATTAATCAAAAATGACCACCGATCAAGACTGAGTGATGCATGATTAGAAAGTTGCATACGTGTAGCTACCTCATCAATTCCGGCTGATATTGATCAGCTTGTATCGAAAAGACAGTGCCAAATTTCTCATTACAAATTTCAAGTAAATTTGTTTTTCTGTTCTTTTCTTATTTGTTTTTATTTTGCATTAAAATTTGTATATGAAATCTTTACTTTTTTTAAATTTTATATTTTTTTATTCTAATGTTTATTATAAATAAAGTTTTGTAAGTTATTAATAAGTGTTACTTTATGTGCGGCCCGCCGAAAAATTTTAAAATTTAAATTGGCCCGTTAATTAAAAAGGTTGCTCACCCCTGTTCTAGATTATACCATTCTTTTATTGATTACATTTCTAAGTCTTATTATGTAACAACCAATAAGACAATACATCCATAGCAATGCAAATCATCAAATATATATATATTTTTTTAAGGTATCTCAAGATGTCAAATTAGTTGAAAATATTTGCAAATTTATTTTTCCCTCCTATCAGGTACTCAATTATACAGTTTGTTTTGATATTGATGTAACTTTCTACAAGTTGAATTAGGTATTTTTAGTATGAAAATCAATTGTTGCTGAGAATATGCTGTTAAGTATCACATTTAGCAATAATGACTGACATTTTTAAGGAAATGATTTCAACAACGGAGTGAAATAATAGGGTCTACTCAAAAAGTTTTCTGCCAAATGAAAGACCTGCCACTAAAGTTTCTCCCTGTCATTATATTTGATCAAAAGAAATGTTAAAACTTTTTGTTGATCTAAAAAGGTTTATATTTTAATTACTGTTAGTTCACATTTTATGTTATCATCAGTTAGATGAATTCAAATGAACAGATAATAGGATTTTTATGAAAAAGAATCTCTTACAAAAAATTGTACAACGAAAACTTCAACTGTTTGGACACATCACAAGAATGAATGAAAACAGAAAAATTAAGACTTTAGTCTATGGTATTATGAATGGATTCAACAAAAGAGGCAGACCATATAGAGCAGGGATGGCCAACACTTAGACCACGGTCAACCGCAAAGGTTTTGAAAGTAGCCTGCGAAGCTAAAGTTTAACAATTTGCTTTCATTTAAACTAATGTTTAAAAATCTTAATTCGATAATTTATTCTTACAATAATAGACTGTCTGTGCAACGTACCCATACTGTTTGTATTTATCCTGATGAACAATGCAAATGAATGTTAACGCATGCGCATATAAAAATCCTAAAATTGTTTGCCCATATTCATAGTCGCCCGCAGACTATATTTTACCAAAAAAAATAGTCCCTAAGGGATAAAAGTTTGGCCACACCTGATATAGAGAATGGATTAATGATGTGAAGAAGTGGTGTAAAGCAAATGTACAGGAATTGAGAAAATCGGCAATGGAAAGAGAGAAATGGAAGAAAATAGTGGAAAAGATGTCAGACACCAACAGGCAATAAGCCCAGGGTTAATGATAATGATGAACTGAACAGATATTTCAATATTTCCTGTAATTAGATAATTGATTCAGAATATTTGAATGATAACAAGAAATTAGTGTTGCCACCTTTTGAAAATTGCTGACCTGGACGGCAGGTCAGGTTTGTTTTGTTTGAACAGAAGTTCCTGACACATGTGCAATGTCATTTTACAATGCAAAGAATAACATGCAATCCAGTTCTAAATCAGTTACAGTTAGGGACTAGGGACTTGCATAGGAGTAACGTAAGTAACCTAAATTAAGAAAGAACAGGTACAGATGACTTAGTTCTATTGGTTATTGGAGATGTGTATGATATTACATGCAAAAAGAAAAAAAAAAGTTGACAGGTTATTTGCCATACGTCAGTGTAAACAGACTAACATGGCAGAATTGCAAATGAGTTTCAGTGAGTGAGTTCTTTCGCTGTTAAAATAGTGTACATTTGTAAAAATATTTGCAAGAACTTTGTTTCATCATAATTTCACAATTTCTACTAAATTCCCAGACAAAATTAATAGTCCACTCAAACAGTGAGTCAATAACCAGACTGTCTGGGTGGTAACACTACAAGGAATTGTGAATTAGCATTTATATGATATCAAAATATCTGTTAACCACTTAATGTTATATAGTTTTAGGGGTTGTGAGGGCTCATGCCCATACAAACTCTAAGGTGTGAGTTATAGTGAACACTGAAGTGAGCCTTTCTACATTTACTTTCACGATTGTGAAAATAAATGTAGAAAGTAGTGGTAATACCAAAGAAGCAAAGTTTTACTTTAAATAAATTAATGGCAATTAGATATTATTATTATATACAATATCTTGTAATAGTAACGCGGAATTAGCAAAAAAAAAAAAGTTTTAAACGTAAAAACGTAAATAAATTAAAACTGAATCTACCTTTTCCTAATCCTCCTTTGGCCATATTCCTAAATTTTTTTGTTTTAGGATTAGAGCTACTGCTCTGACCTTTCCCCAAATTCTTATTTGAACCTTTAGTAGCTTTTCTACAAAACCTATTTTTCTTACTCATTTTTTACTACAATTTTTGACTCACACACTACTCATAGATCCACGTGATTTCCAATGTGCTTTTGATGCCAAATTACTATTATACTTTACAGGTAAATAAATTTAAAATAGCCCAAAAGTAGCCAAACAAACGTGCCATATGTTTTTGTAAGAGATAATCGAAAAAACTGATAGATGTAAAATTAACTATAAATTTCAACAATTATTATAATTGCACACTAAAATTATTCAGAAAAAGTAAAATTAAAAATTAAAAACCGGATTGTCCGCGTGAAAACCGGCCTGATGGCAACACTAATTTTGTTATAACCGCACTATGTATTTTATTACAAATTTTTATACTATATGAGTAAAACAATGATAAGATTGCTATTGTATATTCTAATATATATATTCGTATATGCATATTCCCAATGGAAGTGCTGTATTGTCGAATACGGGATAGCTTCAACGGCGAAAATATTTGAATCATGTAAAGCAGTCAGATTAACCATTTGCGCATGCGCTTTACAGAGCACCAACCTCGCGGTTTAGCTCGTAAATGCTTCACACAAAATATCGCTTCCAATAATTCTATCCAGAGCCGGCACAGCTACATATTATCAAATGTCACCGCACGCCACTGAATTCTAAGTGATTCAGTCAGGATACTTTTTTTTATGCTAAGAGACATAATCTGTTCTGTAGTGTCATTACTGACGGTGCTACTTATTTGAAAGATGATTGTGTGTACTAGTATAGATACACAATATATTTTTATAAATCGAATTTTCCGACATCTGTATGGCCGATGTCCGGATCGCCACTCTTGAGAACCCGTGATTGAATCCGAGCATATTGAAAAATCCAGGAATTCTTCGCGGGCGATCCGTCCTAATATGTCTGGTCCCATCCCTCATCATCCGGCCTCCCCGGTGTGGTGCTGGCCAAAGCCATGATAGGCTTGCCAAAATGGCCCTTTAGAGTTGGTAGGATGGAAAAAGTTTTAAAAATATACAAATATAAAAAAATATGAATTTGTGTAACATAACTATGATTTAATGACGTGTTAATCTTATTTCTATATGGAGGATCAATAAATAACCACCCAATAAGCGTCCTGCGAAACAGAAAATTTGCAAGAAAGTACAGTACATCCCTACATAAAGCAAATCTATAGCCTCCGGCATTTGTGCCCACTAGTGGTCGAGTGGATAAAACCACTGAACACTAGTAGTTAGTCGTGAGGTTCGTGCCTAGCCAACGGGCTGGCCGCATGGAGTTTTTCGGGTTTTCTTCATGCCAGTAATGCTTAAATAAGGACCAGTTTTACATTTAAAAAAACCTCCCGGAAAGCATTTCCCTTCGGCAGATCGCATAAGTGTCGCGTTGCCTTAATGTTTCTACTGATCTAATCGATTCGTTAACGAAACATAATTCTACTTGATGTAATGACATTATCAACAAGTTTAACTGCTTAAGTAATCGTATTAAAACAATTATTGATAAACATTTAAGTTAGAAAGTGGTAGGATATTTATAAGTTCACGGATTCTAAGAGGAATATTTAATCATCTTATCCCCGCTGACGTGACAAGAATGAGATATTGGAGTAATGTAGCAGAATCCAGCGAAGAACATAACAAACTTTAATTGTACTTTCAAAATTAATTGTAATTGTCAAAAATATGAATCATAGTCAAAATAAACACTTTTTTATATACAGTAGACTTACGTGTGAATTTTATTTTAAACTTTTTTTAGTGGTAGTGAGTAACCAACACTGAGAAACAAGATTAAATAAGAGTAGATATTTGTGAAAAATTATATATATTTTTTAATTTCATTTATTTATCTACCTCAATTTCAGTGGCGTGCCGTCCTTGTAAGCGGCGGAAGCGCCGCTTCCCTTGTATTTTCTAAAATATAAAGATATATTGTGCGATTATTTTCATATAATTAAAATTAATATTTTATTATAACCACATTATGTATCTTATTACAAATTTCTATACTACATGTAAAACAAATGACAAGATTGCTCTTGTATATTCGAATATCAGTGGCGAAATGGAAGCGCTGTATTGTCGAATACGGGACAGCTTCCAAACAGCCAGATTATACGCATTCGTGCATACGCTTTACAGAGCACCAACCTCGCGGTTTAGCTAGTGGATGCCAAACACCAAAATATCGTATAACGCTTCCAATGATTCTATCCAGGACCGGTTCCGGGCTGTTAGCCGCCTGCGTGCTAGATATTTGGCCTCCCTCGCCCCATTATGTGAATCGCGAGTAGATTTATAACTTAAAATATTATTTTTGAAAAAGAATTTGAATAGTCCTTTTTCTCGCTAATTTCTAAAAATGTATTTTCCTCCCTTCTGCATCTCACATTAGCATTTATAATTTTTTTCATACCCTTAAAATTAAACCTTTTGCCATTTTATAATAATTAAAAATATCCAAAGATTATATAACAAAATTTCATAACAGATAGCGCCACACACAATTTTATTTATTACAATTTAATTAAAAGTATAAAAGTTATTTTCTAAATAAAATCTCACAATAGCCGAGAAAGTTACGCAACTCGTTAGTTTGATCGATTCTTTTACAAAAACAGTTACATTTCTTGAAACGAACGATCTTTTACTACTCAGTTTCAATATAGAAAGATCTATATTTGATTGTTCCGTGTAAAATACATACACGATATTTTTTATCGGTCAGGTGAATTCATAAAGTTTGCTTATTTAATATACTAATTAACGTTTACGTAACTAAACCATAACACGAATATTTAATATAACCAACGTTCGATGACGTCAGGTAAGCGCTCTTAAAATGGCGTCGGATAAACGAAATGTTACGAAATTCAGTAAAAATTACACTGTCGGTCAATCGGAAACTTGGTCCGAAAATACTGGACGAACCAGAGGAATGATTTGTTCTAGTTTTGGGGGTTACAACCCCTTGTGGAGAGTGGAAACCGAAGACAGAGAGTGATAGGGAGTCTCTCGATCCCAATCCGTCGTCATTCGGGGGATAGAAACGTAAAAAATGCAGATATTTAGCCTTAAAATTCAAAAAGAATCCATGACGTCAATCGCATTGGAATTCGTTACGCGCTTTTCTAATCTCCATAGAAACGGCAACAATTGCTGTTTCTATTGTTGCAACACGATTTTGCGTCACTTTGCACGTTTTTCGCTTGCTGTGAGGACGTGTGCGCTCTTTGCTCCTGTTTTCGCTGTGTTTTTTGCCTTCTTCAGTGTTCTTTTCTACCGGAACGTGGTTTTAAGAAGACTTGTGGACGCCGACGTTATACCAAGTAAGATTTTAACTAGAATTTATCTAGCTGTAAGATTTTATTTTCGTTTCGTTTAGTCCAACTTTCGGAGACGACATCGGCGTTTAAATCTGCCGTCGCTTGTGAATTAGGACTTTTAAACGAACGACCGAAGCGCCGAAAACGGATTAAGTATTTGCTCATTGGTTTATTCTCGTAATTAATTCATTTATATTTTATAAACACGGTCAAAGAATAAGGATTATTTATAGAAATTCAATTAAAAATTACTTAATACTAACTTTAAATACGAATTCCATCGTAATTTTAACTAAAATATACTCTGGTAACATTGATGGACGGAGACCGTATTCTGAAGCATGGGATGTTCGTTCGACAGGTCAAAAACTTCGCCCTTTGACCTCCGATTCAATTTATGTATTAGTTACAACGCTTTTCAATGGCTTATTTTGCCAGAATTAAATTGTCTGCAAACACATCTAATACTAATACACTTAACAGTTATCTATACAGGCTGGACACAAAGAATTCTTTTCC